ATAGATCTTGAGCCCATACCATCAAAGGTGACTATTGTTATAAGGTCTTATCTCTCCAAAACATGTTCTAGAGAAAGAAAGGAGTGGGGAAGGAGGAGCAAAGGTTTGCAATGGAATGGAAGGAGAGAAGGAAGAGCTTTTTAGGGAAATTTAACCACTTCAAGTAACAGTCTCAAAGACATATCCAGATAAAAGGAAAGTTTTGTAGGCAAGCCTGAAAAATAAAACATTGAGGAGGAAAGCTGTGGTCTTTTTCACTTGCATTATTGTTTTAAAATTATATTTGACCTCTGCCAAGGAAAACAGTCATCAGAGCATGCAAGGTATTCCAGGAATTAAAGAGGCTAGAAGTTCTGCTGCATCATCTCCTAGAATTTTGTTCCTAGCCATGACCTAGTTTCTATGTACTCTAACTGGGGCCCTGTGAGGCTTGTGAATCGAAAATCCTCTTGCTTTTAAATGCTTAAGAATAAGAAAATTGCTGCCATTGATGCCTGTCCAATACATGTAAGTGTTAAGTTGGGAGCAATTCAATGTTTTGAAGCTCATTTCTAGTGTAATGAATCAAGAATAGCATCTGAATAGTTCGTGTAATTAGACCATGATGTTTTGTTTTTGTTCTATTTTTATAGTGTTGTTTACTATGAGGATGTGAATCATTGCTTGGGTAGGGGAGGATTTAGCCCCAAACTACGATTTGTTTGACCAAAACAGATGCTTGAAGTGAAAGTAAGTTTGCGTGTCACCAGTATCATGTTGCAGGGTGTTGACATAGAGTATATGATCCCAGTCTTTCTTCTCTAATTGTGAAAGGACCCTGTCTTAACTGATGGACCATTGTCTTGGTTCGTGGGGCCTTGCGTGATGGCCACGTTCTTTAGCACTGTCCTGGCGTCATGACAAAAATACTGAGACTTGAGGAGAGGGAGCTGCCAATGCTCCTTCCAAATGGAAAGAGAGAAGGGGGACTAAAGCTACAGTGATTCTCTCCTTGTCTCCTGGCAATTGTTTGTTTCCCTGTTCATAAAGGAAATAATGCAGCTTATGTTTGAATCAGCTTTCTTTAATTACTGAAATTTTATATTTAGGTGGTTAAAAGTCTGTCAGCTCATGAGTGGACTGATCCAGGAGAGATTGAGGTTCCACTGCCCCACCAGCCTGGGAGGGGAGCTCCTTTATTTGTTTTTCTGTCCTTTGTTTGCTCTGAGCACTTTGGCTCCAAGTTCTGTGCAGAACAGGAAGGGGCAATGCTGATACTATTTGTGAAAAGAACTTGTTGAGAACCTTTCTCAGAGGCAGCAGATTTAGAGGCTGGATTTTTCTTACCAGTGAAGAGAACAGATGAGGATAATTTTGCACCATAAAGATATTAGTTGCTTATAGCAACTATTAGTTATAATAGTTGCTTTTCTGATGAGAGTAAGGGATTATTTAAACATAATTGAATTGCAGAATGAATTATGCCTCTAGTCAGGTAAATTGAAATTTCTGCTGTTAAAATTTGTATATTGTTTTTATTTTCCAGTGTATGAACTGCCATGGAGGTGAAATGACCATGTCGTTTTATTACAGTTTATGTATTAGTCAGGGTTCTCCATGGAGACAGAACCAATAGGAAACACACACACACAGATACATATGCAAATATATACAGAGAGACTGATGTTAAGGAATTGGCTCATTCGATTGTGGGCGCCAGCAAGTCTGAAATTTGCAGGGTAGGCCAGGATACTGAGACTGAAGGGAGAGTTGATGTTGAAGTTCAAGTTCAAAGGCAGGCTGAAGCTAGAACTCCTTCTTTGGGGTGCCTTATTCATAATCTCACCCATAGGAGGAACCTAATGAACAAAACAAACAAACGAGCAAAATAGAACCAGAGGCATGGAAACAAGGAACAGACTGACAGAAACCAGAGGGGAGCGGGGAGAGGGATAAGGGAGGAAAGAAGGGGAAAAGCCAACTTAAAGAACAAGTATAAACGACCCACGGACAGGACAATAGGATGGGCGTTGACGCTGGGGGAGGCTGCACGGAGGAGAGCAAAGGTAGAGAAACTGGGACAACTGTAACAGAACAACAATAAAATATTTAATAAAAAGTCAAAGTTAGACAAAAATAAAAAATAGAAAATTAAAATATTAAAATACATTTATAACAACAACTAGACAGGTGCTTGACCAAAAACTGGATACCATAGCATAGCCAAGTTAACATAAAATTAACCATTACAGCATGTAAGTTAATAAATGCATGTACATAAAGTTATATACATAAATTTACAGTAAGTACATACATGGGAATGGATGAGACGTTTGTACTGAAACGAGTCATCAGATTAAAAAGCAAAGACATATTTTTGACACATTCAGAGCTCACAGAGTTCTTTTTAAAAAACATTAAAAAATATATTTATTTATTAAATTGTATTGATTTTATTTTATTGATTATGTTACTACAGTTGTCCCAATGTTTCCCCCTTTGTCCCCCTCCACTCAGCACCCCCCACTCCCTTAGGCAGTCCCCCCACCATTGTTCATTTCCATGAGTCATGTGTATAAGTTCTTTGGTTACTCAATTTCCTACACTGTGTTTTACATTCCCATGGCTGTTCTGTAACTACCTATTTGTACTTCTTCTTTTTAAAATTTTATTTAGTTATTTTTCAAGTACAGTTTTCTATTTCTCCCATCCCAGCCCACCCGCCCTGTGCTCCCCACCTCCCTCCCATTTCCACCCCCCTTAGTTCTTGTCCCTGTGTCCTTCATACTCGGTCCTCCAAATCCCTCCCCCTTTTTTCCCCTTAAATTCCCTCCCCTCTGTCCCCTTGTTTTCTATTTCAGTGTGTTTGTTTTTATTCTGCTTGCTTGTTTGTTTTGTTGTTTAACTTCCTGTTAAAGGTGAGATCATATGGTAGTTGTCTTTCAACACCTGGCCTATTTCACACAGCAACATTTTTACTGATATGTCCCCTGGAGCAAGGAATATAAAGGAAAGAATAAACAAATGGGATGTCATCAAAATAAAAAGCTTCTGCATGGCTAAAGAAAACAGTATTCAATTAAAAAGACAACCAACTGTACGGGAAAACATATTTGCCAATGATACCTCAGACAAAGGTTTAATCACCAAAATATACAAAGAACTTATACAACTCCACTCTAAGAAGACATCTAACCCAATTAAAAAATGGGAAAAGGACTTGAACAGACACTTCTCCAAGGAGGACATACAGAAGATCCAGAGACACATGAAGAGATGCTCAATATCGCTAGCTATCAGAGAGATGCAAATTAAAACCACAATGAGATACCACTTTACACCAGTCAGGATAGCTATCATAAACAAAGCAACAAACAACAAATGTTGGAGAGGTTGTGGGGAAAAGGGGACCTTAGTTCACTGTTGGTGGGATTGCAGACTGGTACAACCATTATGGAAAACAGTATGGAATTTTCTCAGAAAAATAAAAACTGACCTGCCTTTTTTGACCCAGCAATTCCGCTGCTAGGATTATATCCTAAGAATCCTAAAACATCAATTTCAAAGAACCTATGCACCACAATGTTCATAGCAGCACAATTTACAATAGCCAAGAGTTGGAAGCAACCTAGGTGCCCGTCAGCAAATGAATGGATCAAAAAATTGTGGTACATATACACAGTAGAATTCTATGCAGCAGAGAGAAAGAAGGAGCTCCTGCCCTTTGCAACAACATGGATGGAACTATTTGTACTTCTTAATCTTCTCACCTCTTCACCCATTTCCTCACACTCCCTTTCCCTCTGGCAACCATCAAAATGTTCTCTATAACCATGATTTTGTCTCTCACAGAGACTTCTTAATCTCTAGAGCTGACCTGCTCCACTGCCATAGTTAACATTTGCAGTTCTGTTCCCCTCTCACCCTTGCAGCAGCTGGAGTTTGTGATGGGGAATCTAGTTTACCTGTGGTATGGTCTGGCTTGTGCCACTAAATCTGACTCAACTCATATTTTACAGAAGGGGGAACAGGCTCAGAGGAAACTCTTAAGAGTTTTTGCACTGTAGTGAGATTTAGAGTCGTATTTTTAAGCACCTGATTTTAAAAGTCATCACAAAGAAAATAAAACCCTTATTGCAAAGGTGACAATCTAACGAAAGTGACTCTTGAGCAGTATCATTCCAAGTTGTAAGGTTAGCTAGCTCACAGCTTCCTCAAGGATTCCCAAACCATAACAATTTGATTCATTGCAATTTAACATTCTTATTGCTTTCACGTGTGAGGGGAACTCTATGGGCGTATACAAGTTTATAAACAAAGTCCCTGACTTTCAGGTTGACATTTGAGAAATTATAATAATGGGAACAAAAAATAATGATAATTAATAGTAATAATTACAAAAGAATGAACCACGGTGTACCAGCCTCTGTCCCATCACATGCACCTTCTCATTTAAATCCTCCTCCATATTCTTTGTGGGTACAGATAATGAAATAATTTCATCAGGCCCACGGTGGGTACAGTTTCTAAGTCCCGCTGGGTTGGCAAAGGTCCCCCACATCCGAGCTCCTAGCGCTAGCGCTCATGGACAGTTATGGTCAAAACTTCACTTTCTCCTCCAGCAACTAGACAAATGTGATTTGCATGGCGCTTCCAAATTTTAGTTGACACGGGGCCAGTTTAACTCAGAAGGACTGGGTTAATTCGGTGGGGGTGGGGTGGGGTGAAAAACAATTTGGTTTGCTCGATTCCTGTAGTTAAAGAAGAAAGATAACAAGAGGAGCCCGCGTCTTTCGGTTGAAATAGTTGTGCTTTCTGTTGACACAACCAGAGCCTTGAAAACTGTCCTCAAAACAACTGCTGAAGAATCGTTTTCTGATATTACGAATCCATGCCTTTTGTTCCAACTGCAACCCTTTATTGGACACACACACAGGCGGAACCAGTGTAGCAATTGCGGGGCGCGTACACTTGGCGCGACCTTCGGGCGCACCCCACGCCCACGGGAGCAGCCGGACTCCCAGAGGAGGTGCGGGACTGGGCGGAGCCAGGCATCGCTCCCCGACGGGAAGGGAAGCGGCTGCAGCCGTCGCTGAGCGCTGCTGCGCCTCCGGGGCGCGGCCGGTCTTCTTCCCTCGGAGCCGGGCGCGCCTGGCCGCCATGAGCTGGGACTTTCTGCTCACGCTGCTGGCGCTGTTCGCGCTCCTGGCGTTCGTGGTGCTGCTGCTGCGCTTTCTGCGGGCTGATGGCGACCTGACCCTGCTGTGGGCCGAGTGGCAGGGGCGACGTCCAGGTGAGGACCCGCAGCCATCCCTCCAGTGGGGGAGGCCGGGCCCCCTTCCGCGGAGTCTGCGCTGCCTTCGGGTCTCCCTGGGTGGCGTGGAGCTTCCGAGTCGCAAGGCTGAGCCTTTTCCAGGGGCTGCGGGTGAGGGAGGAAGTGGCGATTCTGCCTTTAATCTGCTGTGCTGGTCGGCTGGACTTGCATTGTCGCCAAAGTAAGAGAATACTGGAATGGGCGGGCTCCCTCAGGACCCTCAGTTCTTACCTGGCTCTCAGGGATTCTGATGCGGTGCTGGAGGACGGTACTTGGAGTAATGCGCGCGTCCCCCTGGTTTGTAAGGGAAACCTCTTGGTAACAGGAGCTCCGTGTTTCTACTTAATTAAATTGTTTATCCACCACTTTTCACTCTTCTGGGACTTTGAAATGGCAAAACTTGAAATTCTCCACAAAAACAAGACGTAAACCTCAGTAAATTTAAGAAAAGGTTTTTATTTGGGCCAAATTGAGGACATGCCCGAGAGCAGAACTCCAAGAGGCCTTGAAACAGTTGACTTGGAAGAGTGTGGGCTGCTTATACAGGTAGAGGGGTCAGCGGGAAGTACACACATTTCAAAGATGAAGTTTTACATCAGGTGGAAAGGATGTACAGATAAGGCTGGGCTGTCCCCCGCTGGCACAGAGGAATCTGAAAGTAGAGTTCGGAAACATTTATTCTTCAACGCAAACTTTTATCAGGATGCAGAAAGAACAGACAATGCTTTTGATAACCATTTCTTCTTCATTTTGAAAAGTATACGTGATTATCCCCATGGAATGTACCCAGAAAAGAATTTGAAAGGCTCTCTGGGCTCCTTTAGTTACTGAGTTTTAGAGTAGTTAAAGCATCCTTCCTTTCTCCATGTGACCTGGACTTACTCACCTACTTACTCATTGGAGTAGGTAAAAGTATATTCCTGGAAAGAACTGGATTGTGTTTTGACCGGAGTAAGAAAATTATTGGCATACTAGGGGTGTTCCTCCTGTCCCACATGTAACTGTGCCCTGCATAATATTTGCTGGTGGTTAACTAACACATTCTCTGTACTCAGCAGTGTGTTTTGAACCTTTACAACATGTGACCTTTATGTGTCACAAGGACTCATACAAAGTAGTCTTTGTTAATTTTACTTTCCAGGTAGAGAAACTAATATTCAGCAAAATTTAATGACCTGCCCAAAGATGTGCTTTGGATCCATAAGGGCTGGGGGAAGTAGGGTTTTGCTGGACCAAGTTTCCTGTAGGAAAAGACTCATCATGTGAAGAGGTTTGCTTTGGAAGCGAGGGTTACTATGCTTTTAAAATGGAGCCAGGAGAGAAGGGAAGTGGTATTGCTTCCATGGGGTGAGAATTGGTTCTTGGGGACCCAAAAGGAACCTGCAGGGGTGTCCAAACTTTTGGCATCTCTGGAGTACACTGGAATGAGTTGTCTTGGGCCACATTAAATACATTATGACATATCATCACACACAAATCTTAATGTTTTAAGTAAAACTACAATTTTGTGTTGGGCTGAATTCATAACCATCCTGAGCTGCATGCGGCCTGTGGGCCACAGATTGGACACCCCTGAGAGGGTACAGTGTTTTGTGTCTCTAGAAGGCTGAACCCTACCTAACGAAATCTTTCCCCTTCGTTTTTCATTTTTGGTGGGACATGTGCAACATTGACATTATTGACTTCATGGAAAATACAGTACACATGTGCAAGGTCAATGCTACAAAACCATGGCAAATTGATGGCTGTGATTGGCAGACTTTCTCTTGACGGTTTGCTCCATTTCAGCAGATGGAATGCATGTGCCTACTGGCTGTTTTGTGGGTGTTTGTGTTTGATCCTCAGTACTTCTGTGTTAACTTGGACTTTGAGAATTCCATGCAAATAGTTTGTATTTTATTATTTAGTTCTATACAGATTATTCAACCCACTAATTATGCCAAGCTCGGAAAAGGAAAAAGGCTTGTTATATCTAGCAGCCAGTTAAAGTAAAAGTTATTTTCACATAGTAAGCAAAAGTTAAAAGTTAAGGTGACTAAACATGAATTTTAACAAACTTATTTAATTTTTTTCAATGTTTTACTTTTGCTGGAAAAATAACAATTTTGGAGGATTTCTGAAGATTTAATTACATTGCTATTATGTAGTTATGATTCGTTAACTTTCATATGTAGTTTAATACATTATTATTTATCTGAGTAATCACGTTACATTAAAAGTTATTCAGCAAACACAGACATAAGGTTAAATGCTAATAGTGTTTCATTTTTCACTTTTAATTTTTGAATTAAGCCATTCTTACTGAAGAGTAAACTTTATAGAACATCTTAAATATAAGGCACAGATATATGTATAAACAGACAGAGATGGTATCAGTGGAATTACAATTCCATGGGGAGTTGTTAGGGAAAACATAACTTACAGGACCCCTGGGAGTGAGGGGTAATGAAAAAAAAAATGAAGACCATGAGGACAGATTCTGGTCCCAAAGTAGCTCAGATAGGAAAGATGGACATCTTTTATCAAGATGAAAAAACTTATCCTCATCTTCTCTGAAGGTTTATTATTTTTGTCACTTGAAATATAAATAGTATGCTCACATAATAGAAAATTAAAAATATAAAGGATATACAGTGAAAAATAAAGCTGTTTCCCAGTCTTGCCCCAACTACTCCACATGCCTCTCTGGAGGCAACCACCATGTCTTGCCTGTTACATGTTCTTCCAGAGAAGTTCTCCACATTTCCAAGCATGCATCTCACATGGTGACATTTAAGGGTGACTAATTTTAGATATTGCACGTTGATCCAGAAAAAATATCTGGCACAAGTCCAGAGCAGGGCAAGTCTCAACAGCAGCACATGTGAGGAAACTCAGGTTTTAGTTGACAGGAACCTCAAAATGAGGCAACTGTGAAGTGAGTGCCAGAAAAATTAGGCAAGCCTGGGAAATATTTAGCGTCTTGAAGCAGCAAACTCCCAACAACAGATGTGTTCTGTAACCTGGGTCAGCCTTTGTGCTGGGCACTTGGGGACACAGCAGCGACTGGTCCAGCCACTGTCCAGGCCCTCACCCAGGCTGTCTTCTGGAGAACAAGGGAAGCAATTTGGTCACCTCACCCTGCTCTGAACCGTACAGACCCTGTGGGAATCCTGTGTCCTGCTCTGGCCAGCTCCCTTCAATAGGGACATTGACCAGCTAGAGCCTGGGCAGAGGGATGGGAGCAGAAGAGTGAAGGAGAAACCTGATGCCATGTCATCTGAGGGAGGGTAGCAGCAATTGGAGGTGTTTATGTACTTTTAGAGAAGCAAGAGAGGAGAGGACTTGGGAGGACATAACACCTGTCTTCAAATAAATGAGGGTTTGTCATGTGCGAGTCAGGCTTGATCTATTCTTTCTGGTGTCACAAGGTGTCAGAGGCTGGCGGGGAGAAGTTAAAGGTATAGCACATCAGTGTAAGAATCTTTGAACGCCTTGAAGGATTAGACTGGTCCAAAAAAAGGAGTGAGTAATTGCCTCAGAGGTCACTAGCTTCCTCATCCTATGAGGGAATTAAGTAAAGACTAGTCGACCTGAGGAGAGAATTCTCACACTGGGTTTGGGATTGAACTGTAAATTTCTTTGAACTTCAAGAATCTGCTTTCAGAGGCTTTTTAGGGAGGCTGTTGTATATATCAGATTCTGTGCAATTTGTAAACGTTGGTGCAATAAAAAGTTTTCTTCCCCAGGAAGGTGCCAGAACTATAGGTGTACTAAGGTAAATGTGAGCCTGGGGATTTTCATGGTCTGATTTAAATAATATTTGCATTTGGGGGTAAAAGTGAAATCTTTGTTAGTTCTATGCTGGTTAATAAAGTTACAAACTCTACTTACCCTAGAGTCCAAGTTCTGCGAACTTTGGATCAGTGAGTGATGCGGACTCTGACCAGCAGTGTCCACAGTGTTGTGGATGTGATGAACAAATTCACATGGACAGCAGAAGTCCTGTGGAGAAAAAGAGACAGCACAGCCGCTCTCTGAGAGAGAGGGCCTCGACCCTTGCCCAGACAGACTTTTATTGCTTTCTAATAGTGTACATCAAGGAAGGTTTTCATTCATCATGCTCAGATTTGCTTTAGGTGATTACTTTTTTTATAGATAACAAAGGAAAGGGTGTTACTGATTACTTCTTACAGATTAACAAGGAAAAAATGTTGCAAATGCAAGAGAATGATAAGAGTGATTGGTCAGGTTATACTCGTCCTTGGAAGAAATAGCACAGACTTCAGGAATTTACTTTAAAGATATGCAGTAAACGTTTGCTACTTCAACTCAGGGTGAGCGAGTTTTAGCAAGAGCAAGCCTCAAAGCAGTCTAGGTACAATGCAGACCTGGTTTCCCACGGGAAAGCCGATCTGTGGGTCTGGCTCCTGTGTGCTGACTTGCGCCTGTTGGTTTTCCGATAGGGCTGGGCTACATTTGCCATTGCACGTGGATAGGTTCCCTATAATGAGTAGTCGATGAATGAATAAATGACTCTTTGAATATACTCGTACAGTTTTCTATTCCTGAGAAAATCCTTCAGGAAGGTGGCTCAGTTGTGCCCTTCCAGGAAAGCACATCATGTGATGGGAAAGCATCATAGCCCAGACATTGTAACAGGGATGTTTCCATCCTTGGTTCAGATTATTTACATGAAACCCCCTTTCCTGAGGAGGGCAAGTTGCTTTTTCTTGAATGGCTAAAAAACAGTTGGGTTTTAAAACACTGATCATATTAAAATGTGGGCATCATACACTAGTGGCCAGAGTGTGGCCTTTGGAGTGAAATATACCTGGGCTCATATCTCAGCTCTGCTAGGGACCTTGGGTGTTTATTCAGTGGTTGTTTGTGGAGTCCCATCTATATCACAGTGTGCTAGGCACTGAGGACATAGCAGGAACAAGGAACAAGGAAGGCAGGGTCTCAGCCATAAGGAAGTTTGTAGTCTAATGGGATAAAATAATTTCTGTAACTTTGTTTCCTTTTTTATAAAGTGGAGATAATCCATAGTTCATAAGTTTCTTGTGAGGGTTTTAATAAGATAATGTTTTTGAAACACACAGGAAGGAATGAAAAGTTTTGTTAAGCCATTATAGTTAGTAACCTCATTGCCCCTGGCTGGAGAAATTGAAACACGCGAGTTAGTGAGTGAATATCTTGTTTTGCTGCCAAAAGTCATTTGTTAAAGATTTTTAGCAACGATTATTAGTTGACATTTTATTAAGCACTGAGTATGTGCCAGACCGTGCTATGAGAACCCTGCCCGTTTTAACGTGTTCCTCTCAACAATTCTGTGGCAGAGTATTTACTATTTCCTAGTTGTAGAAAGTCGAGGCTCTGAGTTCTCACATAGGAGTATGTCACTGCCACGTGCTGGAGCTGGGCTTTGAACCCTGGCAGCTTCTGCAGCCCATACTGTCAACCTGACAGGTTCCGGGATCACTTGACTAAAGTAGTAAACCAGTTTCCTGATTTTTTCTTTTTCATTGGTTTAAAGTTTCCCGGTAGGTTAGGGTGGACATACAGCTGTTGTACACAAAAATTATCTTTCATTTCTTTTACAAGTAAGACTTTTTGAAGATCTTCTTTCTTTTTTAAAGATTTCATTTATTTACTTTTAGAGAGAGGGGAAGAGAGGGAGAAAAAGGGAGAGAAACATCAACATGTGAGACATCTATGCACTGCGTCTCTATCACCCCAGACTGTGGACCTGGTGCACAACCCAGGTCAAACTCAGTTTCCTGAGTTTTAACTTTCCTAATTGAAAACCAGAAATGTGTATGTTGTTAAGTGACACCTGGTTTGCTATTTTTGACAAATGACAGGTATTTTCATAAACAAGGCACACAGGAACGTTGCATCACAGTGACTCATGTTATACCCTCATTAATTGGTGGTATTGTTTAAAACACTTCTTTTTCTTTGCTAATCTTTGGACATGGGTGGTAATTCACAGCTTATTCTCTTCCTTCTCAACAGAATGGGAGCTGACTGACATGGTGGTGTGGGTGACTGGAGCATCGAGTGGGATTGGTGAGGAGCTGGCTTACCAGCTGTCTAAACTAGGAGTGTCCTTGGTGCTGTCCGCCAGAAGAGTGCAGGAGCTGGAAAGGGTGAAAGAAAGGTGCCTTGGTAAGTAGATCTAAAAACAGCAGCTGTGCTTCCTAGAAATGAATCAGAATCCAAATTCAAATACAGTTTGGGGAATTTCAGCAGGGAGAGTGGGATTTTCTCGGACAGCACAGAGCGTTTCCAAATGCTCCAATGTTTTGACCTGAGTCCTCTTCCTTTCATCAGCTCTTAATTGGCAGCCCTGGCCTTTCTCTTCCCTTCTCTTGACACCGTTCTACTTTTTTATTTTTTTAAATTGCACTGCCTCTTGGTGTTAGGGAGTGACCACCAATTCTCTCAAATTTTGGTGGGTTTTTAGAAACCAAATAAATGCCTTATATTTTTGTCTTAAAGAAGGAATAGTTTGGTTCTTATGTATGACATACAGGTGTGTAACCGTAGAAATTTAATCAGAAAGGATCCTGACTCATTTCGGTAAAATGTCACATACTGAAGTCATGTGGGATGGCATACGATTTCTGTTATAAAGGATGAAAAAATAGGAAGTGAATTAAGCTTTAAAAATGCAACTTGAGATAGTATTTTTCATGTCAATATATAGGGCAACAAAGTTTTTATTTTTGTTCCAGTTTTAGTGTGGTTATGTTCACATTGAAAGCAGCCTGAGGTACTAAAGTTATTACTTAGTATCTAAACTGAGATAATTTTGAATTTTCCAGCAGACCATATTTTTGGTCATCTACCTGTCATTCAGTAGAAATCTTCCTTTCACTTTGCTGATGGAACTAACTATCCAGAAATGAATGTTAGTTGCCCAAGTCCTAAGGGCTCTTGTGCTCCTCCCTGGGCTGTTCCCTGCAGCAGGTGCCCTGCTGGTAAGACCTGCACTAGCAGAGGTGAACCAGGTCAGCATTTCCTGGGTGGAATGAGGCTGCATGTTTTCCTTTTATCTGCCAGACAACTGGTACACACTTTTTCCTTTCTTTTAAAGCTGTTAATGTTTTGTAATTTACTCCTTTGTCCATCAGCCTTTATACATCTGCTGTTTTCTCTACTTGCTTGTTTTCTTATTGGCATTAACTTGTACTCCAAGGTTAGAGTTCAAGAAGATTAAGTTCCAGTTTTTTTCTTTTTTAATGAACAGAAATAGAGAGGGCCATTACAGACCTGCATGATTCTTGGTTGGGAATTCCGGGGTTCCGTACGTCCCCGCGTTTGCCTCCTGGGATCCTCAGCCTCCGGAAGGAAGGCCGGCATGCCAGTGGGGGCTTGAGCTTCTTACTGGTCTTAAGCATAAACTTTGTTTTTCAATGTGTAAAAGAGCAATTGATGCTGTGAACCTATCATAATACAAAAGTATTTCTGTACTTTAAAGAAATTGCTTCAAAATGTGTGCTTTTTTTTTTTATCATGTAGTATAGGCTTGATTTCCTCTAGTCTGTTCCAGTGTTAGACTGTTTATATAGACTACTGCGTGAACAGTCTGACTTTCATAGTCTACTCTAGCTACTTCCCATAAAGAGACACCTAACTCTAGACGAGTTGAGGAGAGCCCTTCTCCTTCCCGTGTCCCCAGCCAGCTTGTTGTCTGACAAGATGTTGCCGTATGACCACCAGTCCTCTTCTTGATCACTGAGAGACTCTCCTGCAGGGCCATGCCGCAGTGAGTTTGTTGCCAAGTCTGGTTGTAAGGATGGGCGTTAGATTTAATGCGAGTGGCAAGGAGCTTGAATAAACTATTGTGTGACTTCCACAGTAATTTTTAAGTGTCTTTCTTTAGAGAATGGCAATTTAAAAGGAAAAGATATACTTGTTTTGCCCCTTGACCTGACTGATGTAAGTTCCCACGAAGCGGCTACCAAAACCGTTCTCCAGGAGTTTGGTAAAGTAAGTAGCATTTTGAATTGCTCAGTCTTGCTTTGAAGTAGTTGCAAGAGTGATTCCCATTGGTGGTGTTGTCATTAAAAGGGCTTTAGGCAAATGGGTCTGTGCAGTGAGATCAGGACCTGTGAGTTGGGCCTTTTAGTTTCTGAGTCTTTGGCTTTGTGTAATTACTACTTTTCATAATTTAATAAGTACTAACTCCTCCATGGAGAACCAAAGAAGCTAGAAACTCAGTGCCTTTATTTTTTATAACACTTTGCACTTTCCATAAAGAGTCACCTAAAATAGGAATTAATTCCACAGGTGAATTCTGTTATATATATATATGTATGTATATATACACATATACACATGCATACACATACACATACACATATGTATATGTGTATATGTATATATGTATACATGTATATATATTTATATGTTATAAAACATGTGTGTGTGTGTGTGTGTGTGTTTATTGCTGACTTCTGGAAATACACCATTCTGATTCAGTGATTCTTCAAGTTAACAATATAAGCAGTCAGCCCTAGGTATTCCATCAATCTCCATGACAGGTCATCCCCAAAGTGCCCCTTCTCTGATTTTATTTAACTAGATCGACATTCTGGTCAACAATGGTGGAAGATCCCAGCGTTCTCTCTTTGTGGAAACCAGCCTGGATGTCTACAAGGAGCTCATAATGCTTAACTACTTAGGGACAGTGTCCTTGACAATGCGCGTTCTGCCTCACATGATCGAGAGGAAGCAAGGAAAGATCGTTACTGTGAATAGCTTCACGGGTATCATGTCTGTGCCGGTTTCTAGTGGATACTGTGCCAGCAAACATGCTCTTCGGGTAAGGCTGCTCAAACTGACCTCAATGTACACAGGGGACATGGCTGCCACTGCAAGAGGTTATGGGAACTATGCAGTGATGCAGAGAAATAGACCCAAGGAGATCTTTGATAGAGGACATCCCCAGAAGATGCCTGAAGAGACTTGAACCTCACATGCCTCTTTCTAATTCAGCAAACATGTATTGAGTACCTGCAACTGTGCCATGCGCTGCAGCAGATCCCGGGGATAGAAAAATGACGAGATACGGTCCCCACCCTCAGGAATTGTATGGTCTAGTCAACATATCGCCCTTCGCCTTTTCCTCATTTCTACCACATCTTCATTGGCAAATTTGGGGTCTGCCCCTGATTTCTTCATATACTTCAGGGTGTCGTTTTCCTCCCTACTCCTGGGACTTCTTTTTCCTCCACCCTTTTAGGTGGGGTTTATTTTACCTGGTCTAACTATATAAGCACATCAGAAATAGGAACTACCCACTGGAGGATCTGCCTTGTGCTTCACAGCCCTGCTGGGACTAGCTTTGACGGTCTTTACCCTGGGTTTACTGGAAGAAGACAGTCAATGCAGAGGATAGGAGAGAAGCTTGATTTGGTTTGCTTAACTTTTGAGTTGTCAGTATTAGAAATGAATGAATTCTTAATGTTGGGTAAGAGTAGATATGAAGAAATGTTTTTAAACTATAACATGGAAAAAATTAAGTCATAAGGTTGAGAGGAGAAGAATGATTAAAGAAGACTTCTAATTTGTAGTTAATGCCGTTGAAGGTCAGTTCACAGAGAATGTTTCACTGTTGGAATCACGAGACGGATAGGTGAATGATCATCAGTTTCAGGAAAATGTGAAGGGTTGGTTCCTTGGGACATCCTTTCCGTTATGAAAAGGAGACAGTCGCGGAGAGTGAGGAAAGGGACTGCCACATGACGATTTCCTCATATTTGGCAACAGGGTATCAGTCACTTCCTGCAGAGCAGCTGGGCAACTCTGAGGCTGGTAGATGAGGGAGGGCGGCTCCCCCATCTGTTTGGCACCAAGTATGTCGCAAGACATGCAGGATGCTCTCAGTCAAACACAATGTGAGTTGTCTGGCCTGCCCTCCAAGACTCACTGTTTTATTGCTGGCTTTGATCCTCTGACACAATGTGTCAGATGCCCAGCAAGCTAGAGAGTGAACTTGTTTATCAATGAGAAGTTCACACTATCATGTTATACTAGATGTGACTTCAAACAAGAAGAGGTTTCAGTGTCTGATGTATTGGCTCTTATGGTGTCTGTCCTCTCTCCTCTTTGCTAAAGAGTGGCAGAAAGTTAGGGGTATGGGAGTTCCTTCCTTTAGAAAGCCTTTTTCCTGTCCATCAGAGTTAGACACTGGCTTAGTCTCTGGCAGCATGAATCTTCATAGGCCCTGTGTTTTGTTGGGGGTCAGAGTTAAGGGCTGGTACCTATTTAACATTGTTGGATCATAAATAAATGTACCCTGGGGGTTAGCTCTTTAGGCTTTTCAGTAGTTAACTCAGCTAATAACAATGTAATCTTGGATCATTTCCCAAATTAGGAAAAGAGATTAGGGAAAGTAGATGTTTACTCCCTATTGGGTTTAGAAATGGCAAGTGTATTTAAGTCTAGAGGGTCTTACTGTCCAGAAAAGATGAATGTTGGCTGAAACTAATTGTTAAACTAGTAATAAATAGAAAAGGTCGATTCCTGCCTTCCTTCTTTCCTTCCTCCCTGCCTCCCTTCCTTCCTTATCTGAGGACATGTTCACTGATTTTAGAGAGAGAGGAAAGGGGGCAGAGAGGGAGAGAGACAGACAGACAGACATTGATGTGAGACAGAAACATCAATTGGTTGCCTCCTACACATGCCCCAACCAGGGATCGGACCCGCAACCTTTCTGTGTCTGGGGTGACCCTCCAACCACCTGAGCCACCAGGGTAGGGCTGAATTCTTTCTCCGTGAGAGTTTCTGTAAAGTACTAATCATGCCCCCCGACCTCCCTACCCAATACTGGCACTGTTAGACCCCTTTGAGAGATAAGAGGAAACCAAACCTGAGTGATTCTCAGTGGAGAACATGCACCCCTTTTGGAGTGAGATATGGGGATTGGTGTAAAGAGTGTGTATCAGCATCTCCAGGGGGTATTTTTTCACCTATCTAGTGCTTGCCTACCTTAAAAATCACTGATGGGATGATCCACCACTACCAAACAGGTGAACCATTCATACCTGGCAAGAGCAGAAAATGCTATTCTAGATGGCCTTCAGTCTTATGGTTAAAAATAAGGTTGCACAATCACGCATTTCAGAACATATTTTGATAATGTGTTGCTGCTGTTCTTCATAGTTGAAGAACTATGTAGGTATTAATTTGCTTAAATATAAGATGTATGTCTGTATTTATCTGCTTTTTTATTTTGTCTACTAGGGTTTTTTTAATAGCCTTCGAGCTGAACTTGTCGAATACCCAGGTATAATAGTGTCTAACATTTTCCCAGGACCTGTGCAATCAAATATTGTGAAGAATGCCCTAAGTAATGATGTCACAAAGGTAAAAATTTCTAGTTGGGATATAATTTGAATGCTTTAGTAGTTATGTGTTGGTGTTACATCACTATGTCTCAGGGTTTTGTGACTTATTTATAAACCGTAATTCATGGCATAAGGAAAATTGTGAAAGTTAGCTGATAGTGTTTGACAGCTAGTTTTAATAAAGGCTAAAGAAATTCTTGGATAAGTAATCCACTGTTATGGGATTTAAAAAACTCATTTTCTATCCATTCACAAAGTATAGCAATACTGAAAGGCTCTGCGTGGCTGAATTTTAGCATATTAAACATATTGCGCTTTTAAAGAGGAATTGCGGTGAAGGAGCTTAGAAAAAGCCTCGTACTGTTGTGGTAATTTTAGGTTAGCTTCACCCAGGCTGATGCTGCCCTCAGCTCAGATTACACAGCGTGATTTCTCAATGAACAGCAAATGTCTGATGAAGACCCCAGTCACTCAGTAATACAAAATCCCTCTAAAGAGCACGAAATTTTCCTTTTTCTCCATTAAGATCTATTTCTACTGAGACATCAATCTGTATATGTTGCTATGTAAGTGCTCATAGATATAATTTATATTTTCCACACTTCCTGTGGAGGCTCTAGGGTAAAATGGAATAATCATCCCACTGTAGAAATCAAGGGACTTAGAATGTCGATGTGGCTATTTTAATGATCTGCGTGAGTGCAGATGAGTTACTACATTTCTGGGCCTCAGTTTATTTATTTATAGAATGATAGTGGGTTGACTGTCTGTAGGGGGTATGTCCACCACGGAGAAACCACTTTTATCTTTTTCCTCTATTTCACCCCTGTGGACTCTTAATGTTTTTCTTTTTTTAAAGATTTTTTTGAGGATGTGTTTGTTCTTAGAGAGAGGAAGAGAGAGAGAGGTTGAGACAGTAATAGACACCAATGTGAGAGATAAACATTGATTGGTTGCTTCCTGTATGCACCCCGACCTGGGGATCAAACCCACAACCTAGGTGTGTGCCCCGACTGGCATCCTTTTGTGCATGGGACTGCACTCAACCAAGTGAGCCATCCAGCCAGGGCTGGACTCATGTGTTAATAGAATTTAATTTGCTAAACGTATGTATGAATTGGCTTAAAGATTTTTATTGCTAAATCTTTATTGCTATAAAGATTTTTATATGATTATCCTAAAGTACATTAAGATGATACAATTCTAATTAAAAGCAGAGAACCTTCATCTTTTAATTAGCCTGCACAGTCTTATCTGGTAAGTGTCTACGATTCCTGTTAGGCTTTTTGAAATATTGTGCACACCTGTTAGTACCTATGGGAGACTCCTAGGCAGTATGAGGTCACATAAAGGAGTCACTCAACTAGATGACTTCTGGGTCCTTTGTAGCTTAAAAGTTTTATGAAACGCCTTGGATAAACACTCAGCATTCATTTCATCTTTAAAATGTTTCTTAGTCTGTAGGTAGCGACCCAGACCAGCCCAACAAGATGGCCACCAGCCGTTGTGTGCGGCTGATGCTGGTCAGCATGGCCAATGACCTGAAAGAAGTTTGGATTGGAGAGCAGCCTTTTCTGTCAATGGCATATTTGTGGCAATATATGCCAACCTGGGGCATATGGCTAATGAACATACTGGGGAAGAAAATCATTGCGAACTTTAAGGGTGGTCTGGTAAGTACAATTTTACACACTTCTTAATACATATCAAACTTGTAGGGAAGCATGACATTTTCTAGTGCTTAAAAACTTTTCTTAATCCTCTACTAATCTCATGACATCAATACAAAAGATATAGAAAGTATTCTATCCCCCATATGTATTTGTTGGCTTATTAGAAATTACTACTGGTCTTGGGGAAAGAAGTTTACTTCAAGGTAAAATCCAAACCAAGATTGTCATTTTTTTCTTCTACACTTACTGTTTGACCAGTGTGTATGCCGAATGCCCTTTCTTCTCGCAAACTCCCACTCACCCTGCAGAACAGCTCTGGTGTCGTGTCCTCAGGTTGATACTGGCCTCCCATCTCATTTCTCCCCAGGACTGCGTGAATGTCAGCCCCGTGCTTACCTCTGTTGAAGCACTTGTGCTGTTAAAACTGAGGCGCCCTCTCTGGGTCGAGCTGGTTCCTTTGCACTGATCCAGAAACACTCTGTACATCCGAGATGTACCTGTGCCTGTGTCTAAAAACAGGCAGATTGTTCATTCTTTCAACACTCCTCCTTATAGAAAAGTGAAGAATATTATGAACTATTTCTGAGAAAATTGTGACCATTGAAAGAATTTAATGTATAAATAAACAGCACAGGAAATGTTAAGGAATTAAGCCAAAAATTATAGAGGTGATTACACAAAGAAAGGTTATTTCTGTGGGTGGTTTTTATTGTGGAAGCATTTCTTCCAATGATACTGCCTTCTTCCAGAAATAAGTGAGTAGGGGTTGACACAGAAACAGAGTTAGAAGATGGGATTACCATGTATATAACCTACCACTAGTTAAGCAATCCATGAATTGTTGGATGTTTAATTTGCTCCAACTTTCTGCAGGACAGTAAAAACGAATTAGTGAAAAAGGCAAAAATGCTTGAAACAAAATGCTGCACTAACCCGTCCAGAGCTTGAAAAATCATGAAGGTGGTGGGGAAGAGGGCGTGGCTGTACGTTTTCTCCCAACTTGTACTGTGGACCAGTTTGCTTTGGGCCAAATCATGTGTTAAGTGTTTTGGTAATATTGGGGCTTGGTACTGTGGGATGGTTCTAAAGGTAGAGCTTCATCAATGATTACATCTGAGTTTTAAGTTTGGAATATAGGTGACATAGTTGTGCCCACTGATGGATAAGAGTCGAGATGGAAATGCCACCTTACTAGTGAGGTAACACAGCATCCCGAAGGCATGGGTTGAAATCCCAGTTCAGTCCTGTTCAGTCCCATGACCACAGCCCAGCCCAGTTACTTCTCTGTCAGTGATGTCCCCATTTACAAAATGGAGATTAATGATGACAACAGCACCTAGTCATAGAATTGTCACAGGGACTGAACGAGTTAATATGTGGAAAACTCTTAAAACATACTGTGGAGTGTTGTACTTGTTAAGGTTTAGCTGTTAATACTTTCATTTTGATGGTAAAAGGATATTGAGCTAATAGATAGTGTGAACATTAGAGAGTTAAATAATATGGCAGAGAGACACATACAGAAATAATTGTTTCAGAGGGGAAAGAAAGACCAGGGTCTAGAGCTTCAGTCCCACTGTCGCAGATGTTACAGTATTTTATTTTATACAATATTTAACTTTAAGATCTAAACATTATTCAGTAAATCTAGCACTCAATGGTCTTTTCCTACCACTGTCTTGAATATATTGCTTATTATTTGGTCTTATTGCTTTGTCACTTTTTTAAATGATACACTGGGCATCATTTCATTTCTCAGTACTATTTCTGAGACATCATACCTCATTCTTTACACAAAACCATTGGAACTTTTAAACATTATTTCTCATTTTGTTAACTCAATTCTCTCCTCCCTGCTTCTTTCCTCCACATTGTTTTTTCTATTTTATATATCCATCCTCTTGTTGCAATTTGTTTATAACCTAAGTTAAGAGAATACCAGTATAGCTTTATGCCAAACTTAAATATACTTGGGGATAATACTTGAATTTGTTTCTGTCTTTTAGGCTAGGAACACTATGTCTGGAAGTTTGTTTTGGTAAATGTTTATTATTTTTAGAGATTAAGAACAACAGCTACATTCAATTTTGTGTTTTCTCCTTCTGTCTTAGTGCAAATTCTTGGAAGTAGTAAAAGCATGTCTTCCCCAAAGAAATGTCACATCTTAGGGATGACTGAGTGGCTTTGTTTAAAAGCAAAATACTCAAAAGTTCACAAATCATTTGAGAGTTATCTGTCAAATATTTCAATTCTAAATATTCTGATTCTTTGTAATTATTAAGGCAAGTCAGTGCACGTATGGTAGGCTGCTCCAGAAGAGTGGTCAACAAAACGCATTAACGAAATGTTAATGTTCAGCATTAACAAAATGACATGAGCAGATGCTTATCTGTGATAGAAGGGATGATTCCAAGCTTATCCTGTAGGTCTAGAATTAACTATGATTTTTATTCTAATTTAAGCATTTGCCCAGGTTTTATCAATAAAAATTCTCAACAGGGAATCATAATGATGCAGTTCCTTAAAACAGAAGGAATTGTCAAATATTGGGGTCAATACAAGGAGGGACTGACTCGTGTTACTATCACTCTGTTACAGGGCACATTTTCTCTTAACACCCGGAAGACAAAACATGACTGACGGGTACTTGCATTTTCAAGCCACTGGAGGAAGAACCGGAAAACGTGAAAACAGCCACCTTCTCTTGCACAGAAGAATAACTTGTGATTTTACTTCTTAATAGATACCACTTTTTTTCAACATGTAATAAACAAATAAAACAGCAACAAATAAATCAAACAAATAAAAGATTGCCATGAATCTTGCAATAAAGAGTAATACATACTACATTCTTGAAAAAAAAAGCATTTTAATATACTCTATCATTTATCCTTAAAATCTAGGTTAGCAGAATGGTAATCAAACAATTACAGTAATCCATGTAATGTAAATATATGGAATATTACACAATGCTGAGTGCTGAGTAATGAGCAGATATAAACACCTGTTATATGTCATTTGCTGTACTGAGGTGTTTTGTGTTAATTCATATAATACAAACTAAGATAGGTGGTCATATCCACCTTTATAGATTAAAAATGAGGTGCCCAAAGCAAGTAGGTGTTGCTTTCCCAAGGTCACAGGGCTAGTAAAGGGTAAAGTCAAGATTAAACACCAGGAAGACTCCATTGGCAACTCCTTATTCTAATTTTACTTTAATTTTTAGCACCTTGCAGCAGAGAACGTGCATAGACCACAAGAGAAAAGCTTCACAGAAGAAAACCGTGGTTCTTTATAAGCATTGCACAGTTTATCTATAGGCAAGGTAATGTACATAACTGTAGAATTGTTGAGAAGGTTGGAGGCCACCCTGGCGGCTACCCTGGGGAAAGGGGAAAGGTGATGTGTGGTGAAGGTGCACCATGGGCACAGCAAGTAAGAGTGATGTGATAAATGCACACACAGTGATGCGGATGTGTCTTAGAAGCTTGGTGATGCATGACTAAAATGAAAACTGTAATAACTGTGCTAATACATGCTGAAATCTATGTGCCTAGAAGGTAGTGCTCATTTTGTAAGACTACAATGAAGGGATAAACATTTAGATGTATTATAATGGTTGCTCAGGATGGGGGAAGAATGGGCGTGTAGTACGGGGCTAAAATATAATGAGGGAGGGCTGTTGTACCACCGGCGGTGAAAACTGACTAATCAGCACTGTGCCTGGGGTAAAAACAAAAGGTGGATTGTTGGAACAACTCTAGGATGCTACAGAGTAACACCACGTGGCATGGTACAGACTAAGTGCGAGTTCAGAAAAGGGTAAGATTTGCAGATAGGTTAGTGTTGAAGCTCCTTGTTTTGTTAAAAAAATTTTTTTTTATAGAGAGAGGGGGAGTGAGAAAGGGAAATATCGATGTGAGAGGCACATTGATTAGCTGCCTTCTGTACACACCCAGACCAAGGATTGAACCCATAACCTAGGCACATGCCCTGACTGGTAATTGAACCCATGGCCTTTTGGCTTGTGGGAAGATGCCCAATGGAGTCACGCTGGCCAGGGCACTGTGGAAGCTCGCTGTAGAGAAGGTGTGACTTGAACTGAGCCTTGAAAGGGTGCACTTTAAGAGAGGCTTCAGGAGATCACGATCCAGGTCAAGCTTGTTTTACTTGGCATTGAACCTACAGTGGTTGGCATTGTGCTTGTCCATGTTCAGGGTTTGTTGTGAGTATGTTGGCTAGGCATTCTTTTTTTTCTAATCCTCAGTCGAGAACATTATTTTCATTGCTTTTTTAGAGAGAGAAGGGAGGGAGAGAAACATTGATGTGAGAGAGAAGCATTGACTGCCTCCCATACACACCCAGGCTGGGGACTGGACATGGATCTTACGTGCCTGGACTGGGGATTGGAACCTGCAACCTAGGCATGTGCCCTACTGGGAATCGGTCCCACAATCCTTTAGTTACAGGATGACACTCCAACTGAGCCACACCAGCCAGGTCAGCGAGGCATTCTTTGCCTCCAGAATGTCATGTATGAAAAACTCAGACTGAAATTAGCATGGTATGAGGATAAATGAATTCAGTGTGCTTAATTACACCAGCCAACGAATGGTAGCAAAGGTATAATTTTAAACGATTTTTAGAATTTCATCTATGGTGTTTTTTATAGCATGTAATTAATATCTATATGAGCCCTCTGTCATTCTTGGGCTATTTTGGCAGCAGCCCAAGATGGAAAGGTAGATTTTTGTCAAAGTTCATTTTTTCAAATATAGTCAAGAAAAGTGAAACAAAGTGTTCATATATTGACTTTAAGAAAAGTATTATTTTGCGCTGACATCTCATTTCCTGATTATTATCTCCAGTGGCCCTTTGAAATAGGAAGGAGATGGTATGTTCCATTCTACCAGTGCTGAAAGTGAGGCATAAATGGGTTTGTGCAAGAGGATGGCTGGTGAGTTGGTAGAAAAGTCACCAGGAGAAGCTATGGCTTTAGGGTGTGTCTGCTATAGTACTGGGTGCACAAATAAAATCACATGAGACCTTAGTTACAGTCAATTATTGATAGGCAGATTTAATAAACATCCTATTATTTTTAACACATTTACTGAAATATAGTTGATGCACAATAAATTGCATATGCAAAGTCTGTCCAGGAGATATCCAGCCATGTAATATGAAAAACAGAGATATTTACTGAAGAAGATACAAGAAACATTGTACATAGGACAATTGACCTTTTAGTCCCCTTCAAAGTAGGCATCTTGGGACCTCACAGTTTCCCAATTGCCATCAGCTACTCCACTGTATTTTCCTGAGTCTCGCTGACAGTGTGAAATCTGTTCTCTTTCAAAGGTGATTTTAGTGGTTTGGGGAAAGCCAGAAGTTGCAGGGTGCCGGATGTGGACTGGAGGGGGGTTGAGTCACCTGAGTAACTTGATGTTTTGCCAAAAAACTGCATGAGAAGTGATGTCGTGATGAAGCTGCCAATCACAGTTACCAATAGCTGTGGCCTTCTGAATCACTGAAATAGTTTCTAGAGAGGAATGTCCAAGCTTAATGCAAAATTTGATGCAGATTTGTTGCTCTAGCTGCTCAGTGATTTTGAATGGGACGACCACACAGTACACATGCTCACATAATGTCATCTACTGCTCCCACAGACTAGTACAGTGAAATCATTGTTCACACGTGTGCATTCCAGTCCACTCTCCTTGGCTGTCAGGTTACATCAATGTCATACAAACTGTTACATTAACAATGGCTGGACTTTTTCTGGACAGATCTCATATTTTAAGTGTACAATTTGATAAATTTTATCTTTCTCCTTCGCCTATTACACTTTCCTCCTCAGCTTAGTAATTGCATTCTTTTTCTATTTTTTAGTGGTTATCCTATAGGTGATACAGCAAAATCTAATTACTTGGTACTTTAAAGTTATTTCTGGATAATACAAGGATATAAACTCTTTTAACTGTTAATTCCTGCACCAGCTAATATACTGCTATTGTTATATATTTTGACATTTATTTTAACCTCAAACTATTTTATACCATCATCAATATACAACTAACCATATATTTATCTTCTTTATTACTGTTCTTGCTTTCCTGTATCTCTGACCTACTTCAGGATCCTTTTTCTTCTGAAAATATATTTCCTTTTATGAGAATCTGCTATTGAACATATTGTGTTTGAAAGTGTCTTTCTCTTCATCCTTAAAGAGTTGTTTTCTGCGAAAGGCTGAGTATAATGTCTGTTTGAAGTTACTGTCTTTTAGCAAATTTAAGTTATTCCACTGATTTCTGGTTTCCACATTTTCTATTGAGAAGTTGTCAGTTTGCTAATATTGCTGTTGTTTTGATAGCAACGTCTGTTATGTCCTTCTGGCTGGTTTTATGATTTCCTTTTTATATATTTTTTCTTATGATGTGCTGGGGTGTGGTTTTATGTATCGTGCTTTGGTATTACAGGGATTGATGGCTCTTAACAATATGATAAATTCTCAAGTCATTATCTCCTAAAATGTTGCTCTGGCTAGATTTGCCTCTCCCGGAATTTCAGTGACTTGTATGTCAAATCTTATGGCAACCCTATGTCTCTTAATCCTTTCATTGTATTTTCCATTCTTTTGTGTCATTTTTCATATCAGTTACTGGGTTGGCCAAAAAGTCCATTTAGTTTTTTCCATAAAATAAAAGACACATTTTCCATTTTCACCAATAACTTTATTGATTTGGATTTTGAGTATGTCGGCTATTACTTGCTATTGCCTTCTAGTGGGTAGAGGCCAGGGTGCTGCTAAACATCTTCCAATGCATAAGAAAGCCCCACAGCAAAGGATTATTGGGCCAAAATGTCAACAGTACCAAGAAACTTCACAAACCACTTATGACCTGGTCAGTCACAGCACCTTCTCCATAAATTGCACAAATCATTTTTTGCATTTCAGTTGTTTTTATCCTTCTTGAAACAATAAAATATGGTATGTTCAAAATGTTGCATGTATCTCTCATCTTCAATGGTAAAATGGCTGCACAAAAATTCAGCAATTTTGATGTTTAAAAATGCACACTGTTATGACAGTTGTCACATACAATCTAACAAAATTGTTTTGAATGAAGTTAAAGACAACTAAGCACTACTAGAGTCACTGTTTGGAAAAAACAAAAAAACTTTTTGACCAAGCCAATATTTACTTCTGACCTAACTTCTAGTTCACTAATTCATACTTTAGGTGTGTCCAATTTCTATCAAGTATATTCACTGAGTTCGTAAACTTGATTAATGTATTTTTCATTTTGGGACTTGTCAATTCTTCTGTACTATTTCTAATTTTCTGCAGAAACTTTAAGTCTTGTGTTCTATATCTTTGTACCAAACATCATAATTACCAAGCCTGTGTTTAAAAACTCATTATCTGGATAATGACCCCTGTGGGTCTGTTCATATTGTCTATCATTTCTCTTTGGTTTTGATTACGTTGTCTTACCTCCTCAGGTGCTTTAGATTGTCTAATACTAAATATGAAAAATGATAAAAAATAACTCGAAAGGTCAGTCCAGAGAACATTTACATTTGCTCTGGGTAGTGGCTAGCTTTGCTATATATAATCCAGGGTCACCTTAGTCCAGTTTTAGGGATTGCAAAGACTCAAATAGCATCTATTTTTTGCTCCCCCTTAAAATTAGGATGTAGTCCTTGAGGTCCCAATCCAAAGTGTGGTCAGTTACTAAAGTCCCTCCCTCCTTCGTAGAAGAATCTTGGACTCCAATTTTTCTCTCTCTAACTCTGAATTAAGGCTATAAAATTGTTTAGCTTCTCAGGCTCTCAACCATTTCCTCCTAAATGGCAAATGCTCCTAGAAAAAAAAGCACCCCAAATGCTGAGCTCAGGTCTCTAAATTTTATTCTTTGGATCTTGTTGATGGAATTCTTCATTATCTTCATAGTTCTCTGATACCTTTAAGTAGGTTTTAAAATGTTACTTTGCCCAGTTTGGCTAGTTGTTTTTTTTGTGAGATCATTGCTGTGAATTACCTTCTACTAAAGTAGAAGTCAGAAAAGCAGGTTTTTAGGGAAATTCAGTAAGGTCCCTTTTGAATACATCAGAAAGGAAAAAAATTTACTTATATGTGATCAGTGCTAAGGAGAGAGGTTGAGGGGGGTATATATGGAATGGTTGCAGTTGTTCACAACAGTAACACAATAATAAACTCTGTTTTGCATACTCGCAACAATAAACACACAGGGGATTACACTGTTCATGGCAGGTGTGTCAAACTCATTTTCACCAGGGGTCACATCAGCCTTGCAGTTGCCTTCAAAGGGCCGAATGTAATTTCAACTCCTTTACAGTTAAGGAGTAGTTACATTTATACAGTCCTAAAATTATTTCGCCCCTTTGAAGGCAACTGTGAGGCTGATGTGGCCCCTGGTGAAAATAAGTTTGACACCCCTGGTCTATGGTGACTACACATTAAGAAGAGGGGGCCTGGAACCAATTGGTGAGAAGTTCCAAAATTTAGAGGTCTGCTAGAAAAAGGAAAGCAGCAAAAGAGAGCAAGCAGTCAGGGAGACAGGAAGAAAACAAAGATGATGTGGTATCATGGGGGCCCCGAAAGAAAAAGTAAATGTAATGCAAGGAGGGCTCAGATGTGTCAAAAGCTACTTAGAGGGCAAATAAGATGAGAACGTGGAAGTGACTAGTTGATTTGATAATCTGAAGGCAAATAGTGACCTTAGTTAAAGCTGTCTTTGGGGAAATAGAAATGGAATCCAGACTGAAATGGTTTTGTAGTGGGGTGCATAGTGAGGGTCCCCTAAAATAGGAGAAAACCCCCTACCACCCTTCACCTGGGGCAAGGAAGAAGTGGATGATACGTTTAAGATACTTTGGATAACAATGGCAAGTCCATAGTGGTCCCTTTCTTAAATGGTAAGAGCTTATAGTGACTTGTGACATAACCAGGGAAGGTGGATGCCCACCCCAGATGTCTGTGCATCACAGGGAACTCTTGCCCTGAGTAAAGATGGCAGGTGAAAGAAGGTGGAAGATACCGGGGAACTGGCAAAAGTGGCACATCACAGGAGAGGCCAGACATGAAGTCACACAGGAAGTTCTCTGCCAAGCATTTATGATAAGGGCAGGCTGAAAGAGAAGGGGTCTGGCCCACCATGAGGCCTGGAGATGCCGTAAGGACTGAGGAAGAGCAAGCTACACGGCTTGGGGTAAGAAAGAGACCTGCTGGGAAGCTTGCCTGAAGATGGTGGCAGAGCCGATGGAGCCATGCAGGGGCCTGACTAAACAAGCATATATTCGTGGGAGATGCTTGGAGCTGGACCGTGACTGGGATTGCTGAGCTACTTCTGCTTCCACTCTCTTGGGATTTGTGCCTCCTTGGACTCCACCATGACCCAGTGTAACGGGCACATGTTTCCCAGAACCACTACATGGAGGGTGAGAAGACTGTACCCTATATCCTGAACGAGAGCTGCCGTGGAGAGGATGGCAACTCTGAAACCCACGAAGGGACGGAGACATGTCTGTGCAGCCGGCTTAAGAACAGATGAGGGACGTGGGGAACTGCTGGGCATGCTTTTGCTTCCGACCTGGTGGGGAGCACGGCAAGTGCTGGGTTTCGTGGGAGAACAGGACTCTGAGCAGGGGTGCTCTCGGCCCCCTCAGAGGCTGGAAAGCAGTTAATAAAAACCTGTTTCTTTCAACGCTAATTGTTGGGTCATGTATTAAGGTGACGTGTGGCAGAGCCCCGGTTTGCTCGGTCACAGTTAGACAAGGGAAAGATGAGGAAACCTGGCTATAAATGAATAAGGACATGGAACAATTTGAGGAGCAGGCAAAGTAAAGGAAAAGCATGGGCTATCATTATGATAACAATGAAAAATCTTAAAACGGCTTAAAATGCCCATTATTTGGCGGGGGTTGCTATACCTATTAATGTTATACAGTCATTACAACTGATAATTACATAGAGTGCTTTTAATAAGAAAACTTTCACAGGTGACAAAAAATACTTAAAACTGTCTAGCTAGTAAATCTCAATTATGTAAATCATAAACCTGAAATCTGAATTCAGCTGTAACATCAAGCCCTATCTTCTATATAACTATACTGCTTCTCCAAAATTGGCTAAGATACAAAACTCATGAATTCATTATTTAAAAACTAGTCTGAAAGTTATCCTTTAACATTGCTGGATCAAACTGTTCCACAAATGAAATAAGTGGAATAGTAGTAATAATAACCTAATCATTACAGTTCAAATTATTTCAAACATTTATAAAAAGAATGAATTACTGTATTACCAACTTAGGAAGCTATTATAGATTTAGGTGAAAATAAAGTAACAGGTAGAGGAAATTAATGTCTCAAGTAATGCAGATTAATTGTTTATCCTCATCATAAGTACCTCTAAAAAGTCTGTAAGGAGCTAGAGCAGGAAAATAAAATCCTGATGACATGAAAAATTTTCTCCCAAGATCTCTTTCTGTCTTTAGCTCAATACCTTAAGACATTAGTAACTGCCAGTCCTGTAAGTCATTTTTCAGGAGTATATTCAGTTGAAAAGAAATGCATAAGGAGTCAGGTCTACAGAATGGCCCCCAGCAATCACATGCAAATTACCCTAACTTTGCTAATCCTGTGAGTATTATGGGATACTCACAGGAATGATGAATGGGATAAATCCCTTTCCTTTCACATATATGAAAAAGATACTTGGAATAAAAAGGTTTTATTGGAAAAGATTTTATTAAAAATTTTAAAGGTTTCTGAATTGAAGTATATGAAAAGAAGACAATTATATAAAAACATTCAGACCATGCTAAATGTTAAAATAAAAATGGCACAAAGTTTGAAAATACTATAAAGTTTAATTGTATTTCAAATAAATAAATATACTTTATATAACCTTGGATAGCATCTGTTATCATTACTTAAAAACAGTAATGTGTCTTTTAAGTATGTAAAAATTACGTAGTTGTTGACTTTATAAGGCAAGTCATCTATCACACATTTAAGAAAGCATTATACAATTCATTATCTAATTTTATAATAATGTTTTATATTTAACAAAGCCTACCATAATCCACAGGACAGAAAAATTGGCCAATAGTTTTAACTTGCATGTAAGGCATATAGTTTTTTCTTCTTGGCCATTAAGATATCGGAGAGAGTCAGCTTTATAGAGCTTAGCTTTTCCCCAGGCATCTGACTTGTGGGAGGAGACAGAGGTCAGTGAAGTTTGAGAGATCATCCTTACTCTTCGAGAAAGAAAAGATAAGACATCTCATTTGATGACAACACATGCACAGGTCAAAATGAGCTCTAATACAAGTGGATATGGAGAGGTTTTGAAGAATAAACTGGATATCCCAGGGGAGGATCAGCTGCTTGTACTGTAAGGTTTCTTAAAAGTAGTGGATGAGCTTGTATACTATAGCGTTCCTCGTCATCATTTGTGGCGTAAAGCAACTCCCATGAAAGATTGGCCCACTGACCTCTGACAGCTTCAGCATTTAACTTCCCAACTTGGATCAATAATTCTTGAAGGGTAAGTACTCTCCCAGTGTAAACTCCCTTTAAGTATGAAAGGGGTGGGACAGAAAAAAACCAAGGTTATGTTCAGGCCTTTATATTTTACTTATAAACTTAGAAAAGATTCCATTGTATTGAGGCAAACATAAACAGAAAGTGCTATGTTAAAATGTATACACAAGTTGCTTGTCTTCAGAACTAAGTCACCTGACAGCACTTCACTCAATGAACAGAAGAGCAAAATCTCATTGCTTCTCTCTTTCTTTAATATACTTTATTGATTATGTTATTACAGTTGTCCCATTTTCCTCCCTTTATTCCCCTCCGCCCTGTACAGCCCCTCCCACCAGCATTGCCCCACTTTAGTGCATGTCCATGGGTCATACATATAAGTTCTTTGGTTTCTGCATTTCCTATACTGTTTTTAACCTCCCCCTGTCTATTTTGTACCTACCATTTATGCTACTTATTATCTGTACCTTTTTCCTCCTCTATCCCCCTCCCACTACCCTGCTGATAACCCTCCATGATCTCCATTTCTGTGATTCTGTTCCTCCTCTAGTTGTTTGCTTAGTTTGGTTTTGGTTTTGTTTAGGTTCAGTTATTAATAACTGTGAGTTTGTTATCATTTTACTGCATATTTTTATCTTCTTTTTCTTAGATAAGTCTCTTTAACATTTCATATAATAAGGGCTGGGTGATGATGAACTCCTTTAACTTGACATTATGTGGGAAGCACTTTATCTGCCCTTCCATTCTAAACGATAGCTTTGCTGGATAGAGTAATCTTGAATGGAGGTCCTTGCCTTTCATGACTTGGAATATTTCTTTCCAGCCCCTTCTTGCCTGCAAGGTTTCTTTTGAGAAATCAGCTGACAGTCTTATGGGCACTCCTTTGAAGGTAACTGTCTCCTTTTCTCTTGCTGCTTTTAAGATTCTCCCCTTATCTTTAATCTTGGCTAATGTAATGATGATGTGCCTCAGTGTGTTCCTCCATGGGTCCATCTTCTTTGGGACTCTCTGAGCTTCCCAGCCTCCCTGGAAGTCTATTTCTTTTGCCAGATTGGGGAAGTTCTCCTTCATTATTTGTTCAAATAAGGTTTCAAATTCTTGCTCCTCTTCTTCTGGCACCTTTATGACTCAGATGTTGGAGCGTTTAAAGATGTCCTGGAGGTTCCTCAGCCTCTCTTCAATTTTTTGAATTCTTGTTTCTTCATTCTGTTCTGGTTGAATGTTTGTTTCTTCCTTCTGGTCCACACTATTGATTTGAGTCCCAGTGTCCTTCCCATCAGTGTTGGTTCCCTGTACATTTTCCTTTATCTCACTTAACATAGCCTTCATTTTTTCATCTAATTTGTGCCCATATTCAACCAATTCTATGATTATCCTGATTACCAGTGTTTTGAACTGCACATCTGATAAGTTGGCTATCTCTTCATCACTTAGCTGTATTTTTGCTGGAGCCTTGATCTATTGTTTCATCTGGGCCTTTTTTTTTTTTGTCTCAGTGCACCTGTTACTTGGTAAGAGCCAGAGCCTTAGGTGTTCACCAGGGCGGGGCAACCCACGTAGCTGTGTTGTGACGCTCTATGTGGGGGAGGGGTCAGAGAGGAAACAATGGAGCTTGCTACACTCTGTCAGCTTTCATTCTCTTCCTCCGCTACCCACAAGTAAATTGGGCCCTTTTGGTGCTGATTCCTGGTGAGTGGGTTTGTGCATACCCTAGGACCCTGTGGGTCTCTCTGAGGAACTCTCCCGTGAGGCTGGGAGTTTCTCCGGCTGCCGCCTCAACCCCCACAGGTGTTTTCAGTCAGAGGCTTTGAGGTTTTATTTCCCCGTACTGGAACCCTGGGTTAAGCAGTCTGTCTTGCTCCCCAGTTGTTCCTCCCAGTTTATCTGCACATAAATGTGGGACCTGGTTCGCCAGCTGCAGCCCTGCTGAGAGTCTTCTCTGTCTGGCTGCACATCCCCGCCCCTCCTACCGGTCTGGATGAATGAGTCTACTTTAACTCCTTGGTTGTCGGACTTCCATAGTTCAATTTTCTGTTGGTACTGGTTGTTTTTTGTTTCTAAATTGTTTTTGTCCTTCTTTTGATTGTGCAAGGGGGGACAGTGTGTCTACCTATGCCTCCATCTTGGCTGGAAGTCCTCCTTCTCCTTCCTTTTTCTCTATTCCTTTATCCTACCTGGCCTTAGCAATGTGTAAGTCATATACACTAGTCAGTGGGCAATCATACAATGGGCTCTTTCCAAAAACAGCTTCACTAAGATATAATGTACAGCCCATACAATTTACTTATGTAAAGTGTGCATTTCACCCATTTTTAAAATGGTTTATTCAGATATGTACAACTATCACCAGTCACTGTTAGAACATTTTCATGACCTCAAAAAGAAACCTTGTACTCTTTAGCTATTACCCTCCTATCTCTTCACTCCCCTAGGCCTAAGCAACCAATAATGTACTTTGTAACTCCAGAGGATTGCCTATTCTGAAAATTTCATATGAATGGAATCATATAATAACGTGCTCTTTTATGACTGGCGTCTGTAACTCAGCATGTTTTCAAGGTTCATTCACGTTGAGCATTTAACAGCACATCATTAGTTCTTTTATAGTCAAATAACATTCCATTGTATGGAAATACTACAATTTGTGTATTCATCAGCTGATGGACAGTTGGGTTATTTCCACCTTTTGGCAATTACAAATAACACTGCTATCAACATCCACGTACGTATTTTTATTTATAGTGATCTTTTTGTTTCTCTTGGTTATATCAGGGAGGACCCCCCCCCCCCAAAGCTGGAATTATCTTTTGGAGGGCGGGCCCCTTGTAGTACAGGCTTCCCCTACTAGGTGAGTGTTCTAGAAACCCATCTGTACCAGTGTACCAACTGGCATAGTTGTGAGAGGCTATGTTTAGCTTCAGTGAATTTTTTCTGAAGACTCTTTCAATGTGCTTTTCCATTTCATGATGGGTGATTTACGAGCACACCTGCCTACACTGTGCTGAGTGTTCAGCAGTTTTTGACCCAAAATGTCATGACCCCCCATGCCCTACCCTCCCTATTCACCTGATCTCACCTTGAGTGACTTTGTTTTGTTTCCCTGGATGAAAACTGTCCTCGAGGGAAATGTTTTACCAATGTGGAAGAGGTGAAACAAAAAATGGCAGAAGTGCTAAAAGGCATCAAAATTGATGAATTCAAAGACAGCTTTGAGCAGTGGAAAAAACCTCCTGATAGGTGTGTTGCATCAAATGGAGAGTACTTTTAAGGTGACTGAAGTTGTAACATGTAAGAATACACAATTTTTTATAAATACCAGTTTTTTTAGGGTCCCCCTTCATATAGCTAGGAGTACTGTAACTGGGTCAGAGGTAATTCTACATTTAATTATTTAAGAAACTGCCAGGATGTTTCTGAAGGTGACTGCACCATTTTACATTTCTGCCAGTACTGTATTAGAGTTCCAATTTCTCCATATCCTTGCCAACACTAACTATGTGACTTTTTCATGTTAGCCATCCTGGTGTGCATGAAGTGATATTTCGTTGTAGTTTTGATTTGCATTTCTCTGATGAGTCCCGGATTAGGGACCATATGCACCTGAATGGGGGATCAAACACACAACCTAAGTATGTGCCCTGACCAGGAATCAAACCAGCAAACTTTCAGTTACAGGAGGACACTCCAACCTACTGAGCCACACTGGCAATTTCTGATGTCTGTTTTTCTCCCCTGGTGTATGGGTCAGACTTTCCTATTTTGTTTTTTTCCCATGTCTCATAATTTTTGTTGAAAGCTGAACATTCTAGTTAACACTGTAACAATTCTGGGTACTGATCCTCTCCTCCCCCTCGGTTAAGACTTGTTATTTGCCTAATAGTTTAGTGACTTTTTGGATGACTTCAGTGAAATTAATCCCTACGTCCCTGCCAGGTGTGAAGTCTCTGATGTTGCTCCTTTGGAGTGCAGCCTTGTGAAGGCCCACAGTTACAATGGGACGCCCATGGTTTGGGCAGGGCTCTCTCTCTCTGTTTAGCATTCACACCCAGGTGTTCAACACCCCTGATTGATCTACATTTTCAACAATAACCTGGGGCTCCACAGACTGATCCAATTTAATTTGGGATCCTTTGAAAGAATAGCTCTGGAGATGAATATCTGAGATTCGTTGTGACCCCAGGAGTGGCAGGGGTGGGGGAGGGGCTCTTCTCTATTCTTTTCTTTCTGGGTTCTCTCACTTCATCTATCCAGCCTACAGTTTAGATTTTATCTTTAATGAATTTACCAAATGACTCTTAATTACTGTTCCCTACAACATCCATAGTTTTTGAGAGAATCTTAGGCTTCAATGTGTCCACATTGTTTTGCAGCTAACGTTGGTTCTTTTGGAAAGAGATTCATTTTGTTTGTCTGTTTGTTTAATGGTTTGCTTCTCTAACTGGGCAAACCTTTTGAGCCAGAGCTCTGAATCTGAAGGTGAGATAATGATGTACTTCTCTCTGAGTGGTACCTCAGCTTTAGTAGATAACTGCTTGGTAGAGGAGGAGCAGTAACCTCAGGTCTTCTTGTCCTGTCTCTCCCAGTGCGGAACCTCCACTGGACGGGGATGCAAGGGTGATGGGGACACTAGTATTCGCAGTGACTCCATGTCCAGGTTAAAGTCTCCACCCAATGAGTTGGACTGTCCAGAAAGGAGTTCTCACCTCTTGACTACACATGCTCAGAAGCTAGCCTCACAACAGGTTGCTGAGAGTAAGATGAGAATGGCTAAAGTCCTGCCTCTCTCAGGAAAAGTCCTCCGACTGGCAGCTGAGGGGAGAGGGAACTCTGTTCTTGGCCATGCAGTCTGGATGAATGTTTCTATCTTACTGAGCTGAGGGAAAACAGGTCTTGGTGCAAATACTTCAGTCTCTGACTGTACTTACTGGGTTTTAGTTGATTTTCTTGAATAAATATTTCTTCATTTGCTGTATGCTTTTAGAATAATTTCCAAGACTTTAAAGGACTGTCTTTAAAAATAATTTTCATTATTTTCATTTGGGAGCACATCTGCAGAGCTTGTTAGGCTATAATGCCAGACAAGGAGCCCATAATAAGCTTGTAGCATTGAGTTTTTCATACTCTGCCCACTCAGTGAAATTTTAAATGCAATTAGAACCAGTACTATATTTTAAAAACTTATTGACTATTTGGAGTGAATTTCTTAATTTTAACTTTCTTAATTTTCACAGGTCACACATGCTTCAAATAATGTGTAACTATCAGCAAAAGAAATACTTTGCCACTACAAATTAAATTTTCTCCTGGAGTCAAATCCAAAGTGATAATGCATACAGTTGAATTTAGCAGACACACAATCCTTTTAGTCAAACATGCTATAGCAAATCACATTTATCTGACTATCCTATTGGTCAGTTATTACACAGTGACAACACAACATTTTTAATTGGCTCCTATTAAGTTTGTAAAAGTAAATATTCAGTCATTTTACACCCGAAGTGAGTTGGCCATAAAGTCATGATTACGAATGTCTTAAAACTGTAATTAATATGTAGAATGTCATAGCTCTATCACTAGTTCAAATACTTTATAACCAATTTCTGCTCTTGAAGGTAATATATAAAAAGTCAGTTTTAATCTTACCATATTTGGATCATACCCCAGAGAAAACAAGTATGGCTTTTCTTGTAAAACTGCTTCTTTCCACTTTTCATCAGATACCGAACCAATGTACCAGTCACTTTCATATTCTTCAAGGTAGTTAGTTAGCTCTTTAAAATCTTCTATTGGACCTAAACTTCCTTTATCAACCATCAGTTTCAGAGTATACCTAAAAAATGCAGAAACAAAGAATTTTAGAATTTAAAAAATTTTATCAACCCTATAAATGAAATAGATTTTAATCAATATTTTGAAGATATTAAACTGAAGTGATACATATTTCATATTAAAAGTGTGAAATAATAGAGTTAAGAAATCCAAATAAAAAATAAGTTCCCCACCCAAAGAAAACAAAACATAAACTAAAGTGTATTCCTGATCATCACAATACATACTAGGCAATTTTTTCGGTTTTAAGAAAATGATTACTTTCCAAAATTAAAAATGATGGTGTATCTCCTTCTAGGTTATTAAAAAACTCAACAGTTTCCTGCCACTGTTATAACTTGTATAGAATCAAAATGAATTACCTGAAAGCTTTCAGTGCTAGCTGGAACAGTTCTGGCTTTTCGGTCAGCCAGTCAAAGGCAACAGACCAAGGCAAAACACCACTGTAAACTCTCAATATATGAGCAGGAGTAGGGTCTATATTGCATACTCCAAACAAACTAAAATAACAAGTCATTACTACATGAACATAAAAGTCCTTTAAAACTTTGTCATTTGCAATTTCTTCCAGCACATCTGGGACATTTTCTTCTGAAGGAAAACATTCCAACTGCCTTAACACAAACTGGTACCAGTCTTCTGGAAACAATAAGCTCATCTCCCTCATTTTGGACTTAGGCAAACAGTCAGACATCCACTCTTCAGGTAAGCTTAACAGGTGAGAATGAGAACAACTGAACTCCATGAGTGGAATATAGGCCACACCTTCTTGTTTTCCTTTGTCAATAGCAGGGTATCCCAGTATAACTGCTTTGTAAAGACTATTTTCAGGAACTTTGCCTATAGAAGGATTGCCAACCACCTGTGATTCTACTGATCCTGGGAGAGGCAAATTTTTACTTTGCAAAACTTTTAATTGATCTTTTTCTTCATTTCCTTTTTTGGTGGTTGGCTCATCACCCAAAACATCATCAGACCAGTCATCTAAAGTTTCTGAATTTAAGCTAACTGAGTCTTCTGGGGATTTGTTTTGTGGTGAAGTATTCAAAGTGGGCAGAATTATTAGAGATGCTTTCTCTTTATTGTCAGTTTTGTGAACATGTTCCTGTGTGCTGGACCTTCTGGAGCAGTAATGAATGAGTATCCACACAAGTACTTTAATAAGGTCACCTTTAAATTCAATTAAGTTATCATGAGAATCTATTATGCCAGAGAGGACATTCCTGGCATCAGAATAGAGTTTCACAGGCAAAACAGTACAGGGTGTCAAGACATTTCCAAAGTGTCCATTAATGGAACATATTTTTGCATATTCTTCTTGTGCAAAGGCACCTTCAAAAACTTCATCAACTCTTCCAGCTTCAGCAGTATGACATGATGTCTCTTGCAATTCTAACCCCTGAGGAAATTAAAAAGTATGCAAATTTATGATCACTTATTACACACAGAAAAGCAACTAGTATTGTAAATGCCCATGAACTTGTTTCTCAAAATAAAAATATAAAAAAATGTGAAAATTTTCTTTAACTCAAGAGCTACACCTTAACTCAAACTTAACAGTACTTAAGGCATCTGCTGTTGAATACAGAGATAAAAATAATCCCACCATTTCAAAATAAATTATAGAAACTCCACTAGAAATCAACAAAACAATTTTATTGAACATGACTATAATTTAAAAAAAACTATATCTGTAGTCAAGTTTGAACCACACTCAAAAAAAACTTTTAAATTATAGTAATTTTTTGAGGGAAAAAAGTAAAATTAGAATGACACAATGTGCACAGTAGTTTTGTGTCCTTTCCATCCCACTTTGTATGAGAGCATTACTCTGTTGTGTGGATAGACCATAATTTACTTAACCATTCTCATGTTCCAGTGTTTTAGTATAATAACATAGTAATAATAATGAAGATTTATGTATCTGATTACTGTCTGTCTCCTCCGACTATGATGTAAGCTTCATAGAGCAGTGCTCCTTCGGTTATTACTACATACGCAGTGCCTCAACCAGTATGTGGCATACAGTAGGTACGCAACAAATATATGTTGAAAGAAATATTATGAATACGTTTTTAGAACCTTTTAAAAATTGATTTTAGAGAAAAAGGAAGGGAGAAGAAAGGGGGGAGAGAGAGAAAAGGAAACACTGATTTCTGGTTCCACTTATTTATGCATTTATTGGTTGATTCTTGTATGTGTTCTTGTTGGGGGATCAAACCCGCAGCCTTAGCGTACCAGAACAATGCTCTAACCAACTGAGCTACCGGCCAGGGCCTGAATATATTCTTACGTAAAGTTTAAATACATTTTGATTACTGCCCCAAAAGGAATCAAATGAAGATGTATCAGGTCCTTGCTTACTATTATTATTGCTGTTTATTTGTTTATACATTTTTACAAAACTATTATTACCTTTAATAAAAGGTAATTCTGTCAGAATTTATTATGATCCAGGGAGAAAACATGAAATGTGACATCAGAACCCATTTTTAAAGCATGGAATACCAGATGCTAGCACACAACCCTGAGTAGGTCACCTAACTTGAGATTCCTTTTCCTTCTCTTTCAAAGAAAAATAATACTAGCACATAGCATTGTGAAGATTAAAGTAACAAAAGTACTTTGTAAACTTTAAAGCGTTATACAAATGTTAGTGGCCCTGCTAGTGTGGCTCAATGGATTGAGTGCCGGTTTGCGAACCCAAAAGTCACAGGTTTGATTCCCAGTTGGGGCATGTGCCTGGGTTGTGGGTCAGGTCCCCCGTATGGGGTGTGGGAAGGCAACCACATATTGTTGTTTCTCTCCCTGTCTTTCTCCCTCCCTTCCCCTTCTCTAAAAATAAATAAAATCTTTAAAAAACATAGATAGTATATAGCTAAGCAAGCTCATGTCCAAAAACACTGAAAAAGAAAAAAACAGTGCCACCAAAAGATATGTCTTTATACCACATCATGGAGCGCAAAAGGTCGGTAAAAGGACCCACTTTATTAGGTTCTATAAGCAACTCTAATAAAGCATTTTACTCTAACAGGAAGAAGAAAAACACATGGTGTACCAGGTAGGAGCAGTGGGATCAAAAGGTTTTCATTAAATTGAGAATGATGTATGGTATAGGTGTGAAAAAGATCTGAGTCATACGTTTGAGATGCTCACTAGACAGGGATTGAAGAAGCAGGACTGGATGAAAATTGGGAATGTATATTTTGTTATTGTGTTCTGTTGCACAATCAATGCTAGTTTGTCTATTGATACGTGTATACTGAAATATACTTTAAGACCCCCAGGTGTTTTCAGAGGTTAACTAAAAGATACTCTTTCAAACTGAGTTATTAAGTATTTGATGTGTACATAATAAGTAAAATTTTTTACACATGTATTATAAAAATACATTCGTTGGCAAAAGTACATTTACAGTTGTGAGTACATGAAACACAGAGTTTATTCTTAAATTATTTTAATTAATTATTGTATTACTGATTTGTATTACAACTGTAAATCTACTTTTGCCCAGCCCTGGACTAGAGAGGTTTCAAATGCACACTGACCTTAATGTTAATATAGCAATAAGTATAGCCATGTTCTAGAATCACTATCCATATTAAACGATCCTGAAAACGGCCCAAGTAATGAGAACCAGGTAAGAGGAGACCTAAAAGAAATTGAAGAAAAAAGAAAAATAAGTAATTATTCAAGCTTGTTTTATTTTGCCACATGCACCTTCAAAATTGATAACACACTTTGAACTAATTCATAATTCCTTGGACTGTCTCTTTACGTCAAAAATAGAAATGACTATTCTTTGCATATTATAAGGCATTAAATTAATCACTCTACAGGTAATAATACATAAAAATTCAAGGATCTAGTTTCCAGAAAAACAATAAATCAGAACCTGCCATATAAAATCCTAACTACTTTTTAAAAAATACTAGGAAAAGTATTAAACACTGTATAAAAGAGCCAACTTCACAATAATGACTTAAAACATTGTGGATATTTTTATATACATGCATAAAAATGTTCTGTGGTATTAAAATTTACATAAGATGCTGTCTATTACATTATAAAAATACTTTTGAAACTAGTTTTTCTCTCACATTGTGCCTGTGATTTGCCCATGTTGACTGCAAACACTTTGGTCATTCATTGTAAGAGCATTGAGAATTCATTATATGAACATAGTTGAATTTAAATATTCATTTCCTATTTAATAGACATTTCAGATGCTTCCAATTTTTCACTATTTTAATAATAGTACAGAAATTATTTCTGTGTAAATCTGCTTGTACAAGGTGTCATGCAGGAAAGAGTTAACATAGCAAAAGTAACTGATATCCTTTGAAAGGCCTGCTTCCAAAGTTGTTTGACTGGCATCTGAGAACTTGTATTTCAGTGCAAACAATACAGTTTGTACTGAACACTGGCTTTTCTTGTGGGAGTCTGAAATTTTGGCATGCACTAGGCAGAGAGGGGTGCCTCATGACCAGCCTCAATAAAAGACCTAGGAATTAGGTCTCAAATAAGAATCCCTGGTAGTGAAGATCTAACACATTGTCACAACACACTGCTAAGGAATTAAGCACATTCTGTGTGACTACACCAGGGGAGGACACCTGGAAGTTTGCATCTAGTCTCTTACCCATGTGACCTTTCCCTTTGCTGATCTTGCGGTACATCCCTTAGATATAAAGTATCTCAGTAACACTATACACTGAATCCTGAATCCTCCTAGCAAATCATCAAACCTAGGAATGGTCTTGGGGACCCCAAAACAGATGTGTAAGAGCTCCTCTAGAATTGGAATCAATGGATCATGGACTCTAAAACTGGAATCACTAGGCAATGGGATAGGCCCATCTTCACTACAGACTGTAAGTTTACCATTCAACGTGGTTTTATGTACATTATGTACAAGGAAATATGTACATTTCCTTCTAGCAGGGTTTGGGACTTCTTGTTCCCCATACCCAAGTCAATACTGGGTAATGTCAGACTTTGTACATTTTTGCCAATCAGATGTGTGTAAAATGTTACCTCATTTTTTCCCCAGGAAATACTTTATAACACACTTTTTGGTGGAGTGTAACTGATTTGATAATAAAGCATAATTTCTACTTTATTACTAAAGTATTTATTATTTCAGATATAAGTTTAATATTATAAGTATTTAAAAAAGTGGCACAGCATTGCATAATAAAAATTAATTGGAACTGGATAAAAATATAGAATATTTACTGTAAGAAAGGAAAATAATTATTCATAAAAATTTTGTACTATAAAGTTTTTTCTAACATATATAATCATAGGTAAATAGAAATGTTCAACCCAAGTAAACATTTCATTCAAATTCAAATTTTAAATTGCTAGTCTGACTGGCCTCAGTTTGCTAGGAAGTGACTGAACGCTTCTAAAACGAGCATCAAGGGGCAAGGCCTATGCCAGGAGACAATACACTGTTGTCATCAGCTTACACCTTATCTAAAACCAACCCTGACAAGTATAACATAGCTGAATTTGCAGTTAGTGTACCATGAAATTATAAAAGTAACATAAAATTGTAATTATAAAATTAGTTCATTCTCATCAAAATCTTGCTAATTTACATAGCGCTTCATTTTGGCAGGCAACCAATCAGTGACCAAAGCCTTCATGTTATCATGCCCTGTAACTCTGTATAGACACTAATAATATATGAGCAAACATCCTTAAGCAATTCAGTCTGATATTATGTAAAGCTAGTTTTTGCTCTTTATGGGTCTAAATCTATTGCATCTACTTGATATGAACTCATTGTAAGTACATAAAAATTTTGCAAGGTAAGTGTTTTCATGTTTCAATGATAAGGCTACAACCTGATTTTATTCAGAAAATGTTTTTCAAAAATGATCAAATCACCATAAAATTCTCCCTTAGTATTTTTATTTTATAACTTTACCTCAAAATAAGGACCAGGAGAGATTCATCTTTCACATTTAGTCTTTCTACCTGCATATCAGAGTACTAGGGTCTGCATAATGGTTGGCTCAAAAGACTGTTTTTCTTTTTTATTTTTTTAATTTATTTTTTCCTTTTTATTTTTATTGTTTTTAAACTTTTTTATTGATTATGCCATTACATTTGTTCTATTCCCTCCTCCATTCCCCTCCACCCTGCATACCCCTCCCCCACCATTTCCCCCTTTAGTTCATGAACACGTGTCTCAAATTCTTTAGATTCTGTATTTCCCCTACTATTCTTACCCTCCCCCTCTTTTCTATCTACTGTCTATGCTACTTTTTTTCTGTACCTTCTCCCCCCTTCTCCTCCTCCCACTCCCCTGTTGCTAACCCTCCATGTGATCTTCATTTCTATGGTTCACTCCTGATCTAGCTGTCCTCTTAATTTGCTTTTGTTTTAGGTGTGGTTGTTAATAACTGTGAGTTTGCTGTCTTTTCATTGTTCATCTTTTTTATCTTCTTCTTCTTAGATAAGTCCCTTTAACATTTCATATAATAAGGGCTTGGTGATGATGAACTCCTTGAACTTGACCTTATCGGAGAAGCACTTTATCTGCCCTTCCATTCTAAATGAAAGTTTTGCTGGATAGAGTAATCTTGGTTGTAGGTCTTTGGATTTCATGACTTGGAATACCTCTTTCCAGCCCCTTCTTGCCTGTAAGGTCTCTTTTGAGAAGTCAGCTGACAGTCTGATGGGAACTCCTTTGTAGGTGACTGTCCCCTTAGCTCTTGCTGCTTCTAGGATTCTCTCCATTTTAATCTTGGCTAATGTAATGATGATGTGTCTTGGTGTGTTCCTTCTTGGGTCCAACTTCTTTGGGACTCTCTGAGCTTCCTGGATTTCCTGGAAGTCTATTTCCTCTGCCAGAATGGGGAAGTTCTCTTTTATTATTTGTTCAAATAAGGTTTCCACTAGTGACTCTTCCCCTTCTGGTACCCCTATAATTCAAATGTTGGAACGTTTAAAGATGTCCTGGAGGTTCCTAAGCTTCTCCTCATTTTTCTGAATTCTTATTTCTTCATTCTTTTCTGTTTGATCATTTTTTTCTTCCTTCTGGTCCACTCTCTTGATTTGAGTCCGAATTTTCTTTCCATTACTATTGGTTTCCTTTGTATTACCATTCATTTCAACTAGTTTAGCTTCCATATGTTTCTCTAATTTGTGATTAAAATCAACCAGTTCTGTAAGGATCCTGATAACCAGTGTTTTGAACTGTGCATCTGAAAGACTGGCTATTTCTTCATCGCTTAGATCCATCGGTTCTGGGGCTCTGAGTTGTCCTAGAGCCATTTTTGGTCTATTCGTGCCGTTAAGTAAGCGGAGCGAAGCCTTAGTTGTTTACCAGGACGGGGTGACCCAGGTCGCTGGTTTGTGACGCTGTGTGTGGGGGTGTGGTCAGAGAGGGAGCAATGGCGGTCCTCTCTGCTAGCCCAGTCCGTCCAGTCACACCACTCGCCCCGGGCCTGTTTATCTGATCGGAATTGTGGGAGCCTGCTGCCCCGCCCAGGCTTCCCTCCTCACTGGTTTATCCGCACGCAGGTGCACGACCGACTGCAGACAGCAGACAGCCCGCCGAGCCTCTTCCCTGTGTGCTCCCGTAGCTAGCCCGCGATCAGCGCCTTTGGCTGCTCGCGCACACACCGTGCACCACCTGTTGGGGGATTTTTTCTTGCCAACCTGTTCCGCTGCTGGCTTCGCTCCTCTTACCGGTTTAGCTGAGCATTTCGTTGTCTTCGGACTCCGTATTGTCGATTTTCTGTGTGGCTTGGTTGTGTTTATTGTTGTTAAAAATAGTTGTTCTTAGATTTGGTTGTGCACAGAGGCAAGGTGGTTCCACCTACATCTCCATCTTGGCGGAAGTCCAAAAGACTGTTTTTCTATATGTTCATGTCTTTGTATTTCAAATATTGGGCTAGCCAAAAGTCCATATGGTTTTTTCATAAAATAAAAGACACATTTTTCATTTTTATCAATAACTTAATTGATTTGAATATTTTGAGTATGTCAGCTGATCTTCTGCATGGTATAACGCTGCCTGTTCTCAATTAATGTTTTGATTTGATCACTGTCAATTTCAACGGGTCTACCTGACCATGGAGCATTGTCCAGTGAGAAATCTCCAGCACGAAAGTTCGCAAACCACTTTTAACATGTTCAATCAGTCACAGCACCTTCTCTATACACTGCACAAATCTTTTGTGTTCCAGTTCCATTTTTACCTTTCTTGAAATAATAAAAACATAATATGCCAAAAATGTTGCATATTTCCTTCCATCTCTGACATTAAATTATGCAAAAATTCACTAATTTTTATAGGTTTTTAAAAAAAATGCATGCTGATAGGACAGATATCATAATACAATCAAACAAAAATTGTTTTGAATGAAGTTCAAGACAACCAAGCACTACTTGAGCTATCTTACAGAAAAAACCAAATGCACTTTTTGGCCAACCCAATATATTAGTGAGAATTTAAGCATAATTTAAGCACAACCCATTTACTTACCTAAACTTCCTGTTGCCATTGCAGACTTCAGTGCAGCGGTCAAACTTGGGATCATCTGGTAGTAGTACACTGTATCTGCACACACGCAGGCTGCGGTGCCCACCACTCCCGGCCAACTCTGAACAGGTCGGGGAAACCCCACCAAGAACAGAGGAAGGGTGAAGAGGGGGAGTAGAGGAGAAGAGAGTAGTGTAGAAAACACTATGAAGACCAACACGAACGGAGAGAAAACCATGTTGAGTATACATAAAGTGGTGGTTGATTTTCTACGTTTTTTGTCTGTCCATGATGCCAAAAGTATAGCCACAGCAAACTGCAGTTTAGAGATAAACTGAATCAGACGATCACGCATGATACCAACCTGTAGAGACATAAAAATAATTTTTTATTCTCAAAGAATCTTTAGTATTCCTTTTTTATTCTTAAAAATATTTTTAATTCTTATTCTTTGTTCTATTCATTTCATGATTTTTCAAGCTCATAAAAGGAAAACTGTATAATTTTATTACTGCCCCCATATTTTTGAGGATAAAGCCTTTATTTGAAATTCTTTGTTATTCTCCAACCTTACAATTAATAAATGAGACTCTATTTTTTAAAGTTTGGCCTCCCTTAAAAAAAGTAGTGCTAACAGTTCTCTTTAGTAATGTCTGTATCTCAAGGTAGACTAAGCTTTGCATTACATGCTCATTAAGTCATGGGAACTAGAAATGATAAACAGTCAAGCAACCATCCTTAATTTACCCTAATTTTAGAGAGCATTTTAAAGATGAAGAAACTAAAGTAATGCCACAAGACAAACCTCAATAGATTGAAATCATACTAAGTATGTTCACAAAAATCACACAAAATGTTTTTCAACCAAAACAAAATAAAATCAATAGTAGAAAGAAATCTGAAAATTAAAAACACACATTCCTAAATAAACAATGAAAGATGAAATCACAAGATAAATAGGAAAATATTTTGAAATAAATGAAACAAAAAATACAACATAACAAAACCTGTGATATAGCTAAAACAGTTCTCAGAGGGAAATCTATAGCTTTAAATGCCTGTATTAAAGAGAAGAATGCTCTTAAATCAGTATCTTAATCTTCTACCTTAGGAAACTAGAGAAATCACAAAACAAAGAGCAAACTAAACCTCAAGTAAACAGAAAGAAGGAAATAAAGATTAGAGCACAAAATAATAAAATAGAGAAAAACAACAGAAAAAAATCAATGAAACCAAAAGCTGGTTTCTTGAGATCAACAAAACTGACAACCTTTTAGCTAGACTGACCAAGAAATAGAAGACTCAAATTACTAAAATCATGAAAGAGAGAGGTAATATTATCCTACAGGAAAAATAAAAAAGGATTATAATACCATCAACAACCGTATGCCAATAAATCAGAACACAAAGATGAAACTATAAGTTCTTAGAAAGACATAAATTACCAAAACTGACTCAAGAATAGAAAGTCAGCCCTGGCTGGTGTGGCTCAGTGGCTTGAGCACCAGCCTGTGAACCAAAGGGTCTCTGGTTTGATTCCCAGTCAGGGCACATGCCTGGGTTGAGAAGCCAGGTCCCCAGTAGGGGGTGCATGAGAAGCAACCACACACTGATGTTTCTCTCTCTCTTTTTCTCCCTCCCTTCCCCACTATCTAAAGATAAAATAAATAAAAAATCTTTAAGAATAGAAAATCAAAACAGACCTGTAACAAGTAAAAAAATCTGAATTAGTAATTTTAAAGCTACCCACAGAGAAAAGTTAGGTCCAGATAACTTCTATACTACAAAATACTACGTATTACAAAATATTTAAGATACATACTAAATACTATTAGGCATTTAAAAATAATTAATATGAAATTTCCAACTCATTTTATGAAGTCAGTGCTATTATGATATCTAAACCAAAGACATGATAAGAAAAGAAAGGCTTATCATATAAAAATTCTCAACAAAACACTAGCTAATCAAATCCTGCAACACATAAATAGGATTATACACCATGACCTAGTGGGATTTATTCCAGGGATGCAAGGTTTGTTTAACACCAAAAATCAATATATTATATCATGTTAGTATTTTAAAGGATCCAAACCATATGACCATTTCAATAGACACAGAAAAAGCATTTGACAAAATCCAACAACCTTCATAATAAAAAGACAACTGGAATAGAAGGAAACTTGTCAATCTGGTAAAAAGTACCTGCATAAAACTAATAGCTGATATTATTTTTAATGATAAAAGACTGACATGAACATAATGGAGAAAAACTGAATGCTTTCATCATAGGACGTACATTCTTCCTTTTTCTTTCAACATTATACTAGAGGTTTTACCCAGGACAGCTGGGTAAAAGAAATGAAAGACATCTAGATTGGAAAGGAAGAAGGTAAACTATCTTTATTATATCTAATTTGCAGGTAACATAATATATACAGAACATCCTAACAAATTCATTAAAAATCTACTATAATAAGAGTTTAGTGAGGTTTTAGGATATAAGATTAACATAAAAATAATCAGTTATATTCTATATTATAGCAATAAACAAGCCAAAAATATGAATTAAAGAAACAATTTCATTTATATCATCACAAAGAATATAATACTTGGGAATAAATTTAATAAAAGCATAACACTTACACAGTGAAAACTACAAAACATTGGTGAAATAAATTTAAAGAAGAACTAAATAAATTTAAAGACATCTCATGCTTGTGAATGAAAAGAATTAATAATTTTAAGATGGCAATATTCCTCAAATTGATCTACGGATACGAGGCTCTTCCTATTGAAGTTCCAGATGCCTTTTTGCAAAAAAAAATGAAAGCTGAAACTAATATTTATACGGTAACATAAGGGTACCAGAATAGTCAAAACAATCCTGTAAAAGAACAGAGATGAAGAACTCAACCTTTCCAATTTCAAAACCTACCGCAAAGCTATAGTGATCAAGACAGTGTAGTTAAGGATAGGTTTATAAATGAATGGAAATAAACTGAGAACCCAGAAATAAACCCTCACTTTTGCCATTTGGTTTTTGACAAGGGTGCAAAGAAAATTCATTGAGGAAATACTAGCTTTTCCAATAAATGGTGCTGAGTGCTGACACAACTGTTCATCCAATGCAAAAGAATGGTTTTGGAACCCTACCTCATATTGCATTCATAAATATCAACTCAAAAGATCATAGGCCCACAAGTAAGAGCTAAAACTGTAAAACTCTTAGAAGAAATCATAGTAAGTATTTATAATCTTGGAATAGGTAGTGTTTATTAGATGTGACATAAAAAAATCAGTGACAAAAGAAAATACTGATAAACAACTTAAATTAAGAACTTTTTCACTTCAAAGAACATTATTGAGAAAGTAAATGACTATCTACAGAATAAGAGAAAACTTTGGTTTATCATACTTTTGTCAAGGAAGTTGTATCCAGAATACATAAACAACACCCGCAACAATAACAAGGCAAATAAACATGGGCAAAGTATTTGAACAGACATTTCTCAAAAAAACATGTGCGAATGGCCAATAAACATGAAAATATGCATTACGAGCATTCAGAGCTATCAAATCAAAATCACAAGACAGCAGTTCATACTCACTAGAATGTCACAAAATTACTCACAAAATTTTTTATTGTAAAAAGTCAGATAGGCCCTGGCTGGTGTAGCTCAGTGGATTGAGCGCAGGCCTGCGAACCAGAGTATTTGGTTCGATTCCCAGTCAGGGCACATGCCTGGGCTGCAGGCCAGTTCCCAGCAGGGGACACACGAGAAGCAACCATACACTGATATTTCTCTCCCTCTCTCCTTCCCTTACCCTCTAAAGATAAATAAATAAAATCTTTATTAAAAAGTCAGATAATAAGTGTTTGTGAGGATGTAGAAAAATTAGAATCCTCATGCATTGTTGGTGGAAATGTAAACTGGTGCAACTACTTTGGAAAAGTATTTGGGAATACTTTGAAGTGTTAAACAGAGAATTACTACATGACTGAAGTTCTAGTCCGAGATACACATACCTAAGAGAAATGAAAATATATGTCCATATAAAAAACTTGTACATGAATGTCCGTCCATAGCAGCATTATTCATAATAGTCAAAAGTGAAAACAACCTAAATACCTATTTTCTGATGAAAGAATCACTAAATGTGTATGTCCACATAAGAAAATATTATTCAGCAACAAAAAAGATAAAATACTGATACATACTACAATATGGATGAACCTGGAAAACATACGTGAAAGAAGGCAGATGTAAAAGATCATTTGTGTGAAATGTCCAGAACAGTCAAAACAGAAACATAAAGTAGATTTAACGGTGCCTGAGGCTGGAGTAGGGGACGGGTGTGATGAAGAGTAGGAACTGAGAAATGACAAGGTATATGAGGTTTCTTCTGGGATGCTGAAAATGTTCTGAAATTAGATTGTGGTGATGACTACAAATTTCTGAATATACATCACTGAACTACATACTGTAAATGGATGATTTTATGGTTTACGAACTACATCTCAATAAAACTGCGAAAAAATACATTTACCAGTAGGAGTCTGAGTCCTGTGTTCAGGCTTCTGTTCCACCACGTGTCTACACTGGTGGTCAGCAAGGGCACCGCTGACACGATGACCGTCTCCAGGAGAGCGTTTTCGGTATTCTGCCACACCTGCGGTGCACAAATTATCCACTCCGTCAGGGAGAATTTGGTACCCAATGTAAACTCTTAGAATGAACAAAATCACAAACGTAGAAATAGAAAAAAATGATGAAGTGCATACTAGAATTACCATTCTGAAAGCTCTCGTGAATCCAATGGAGACAGATGCAGAGTGGAGCCCTTGTAGGGCACTGTCCAGGGAAAGGAATGCTATCATAGCAAAAGGTGACACTAAGATGGACCACAGCAAAGAAAGACTAATCAATAATTAAGGCAAAGTAACCCTTTCTACCATATTTTATTTTTGCATTTTAAATGCACATGTAAACAATTAACTAAAAAAAAAAACCCAACAAATGAACCAAAACGTGAGAGAATAAATGCTTATATGAAGCATATTATACAAATATGGGAATTCTGTAATATTTCTGTACACTTTGTAACTAGAACACAAGGTTAGATTTTTACCTTCCTACCTAGATTTAGCAAAGTCCGTCTGACAACACCAATCTTCATAAGCCTTGCTTGCTTCTTTAAGAATAACGGCACAGTATGTGCATCCTTTGGGTAGAATGGGTTTCGGAAAATCCCAAAGATATAGACACTTTGAATTTCTCTAAGTATCCACAGAATTATAAGTAATATCGTCAAAATATAGCCAACAATAGCCTGGGGACTGTTTTTGGAAATCTGTGAACAACAAGCAAAGTGATGCAACAAAACACTTTCTAAGAGAGCCAAGACTAATATAATGACGTAGAAGAGGCATTCCTTCCAAGTAAAATGTTTTTCTGAACCAGTGGGTAAAGCCTTAGATTGAGTTTCAACTCTGTGTCTGGTTACACTGTGTTGGAAGACAAAACCCATGTCACTTAGGTTAAGACTCAGTAAGAACCCAAGTCCAGTCATGAAAAGAACCACTCCAACATTGCTGGGAATGAAATATGATGTTACAGCTGTTCCAGCAGAAATGATGAACATTATTAATAACCTGTAGAGAAAAAAAAAGATTTGCTTGAAAAGGAAAAATGTACTTTCAGAGTAATTTACATATAACTTTAATATTTAAAATAATTACCGTATGTGGGTTGACATAGGTGAGCCTCCGAGGCCAAACTCCAAAATTTGCTCCATTGCCCATAAGAAAAGTGCATCAGGTGGGGGCAGAACCCCGAGTGCCCACAGAAAGGGTAAAAATATAAACAAGATGTGTAAAATCTGATTCATTTGTTCTAGAGTTGGTATATTTACCATAAACCTATAGAAAAAAAACACATTTGAATCATATAAAAAAACACAGAAGAGAATCTTTTCAAGAAAAGCAAGACACACATACACACACCATTTCCTCCAAACAAAAGAACATTTCCAACTTGCAAAAGATCAATACACGTAAGTTGTGTTCACTGTCCTTCCCTTATACCATGAATTACCCAGCTTAACAGCATATAAGTTTAGCACTTAGAGAATATTTGGATTCAAATGTAGAAAGAAGGAAGATGTAATTAAAAGTAACTTATTGAATTTAGGAATCTGTAAAACTGAACTGAGCCCAGGGCAAAAATATTGCTCCTTTAAATGTCTAAACTATAATACATTGGCTAAATTCTACCTATAATACTTGAGAGTATAAAAATTTTAAATTTAACATTGCAAGTCACTCTGGGAAAGCCAAAGCCTCACTGCTTCACACTGTCAGTAGCTGGTGAAGAGGAGACTCTTCTCTTCTCTGCTCTCTGGTATTGTCTTGCTCTCAGGTCCCAGAATTTGACGTTAGTAGAGTATAGCAGAAGTCAGCAATATTAGGTTATAAATGCGTCTCTTTTAATTAGCCTGGAAACTTAACTAGCACTTACAGTATCGTTCCTATTTTGGTATGGATTTGAGAATACAAACAAGTACAATACAATCTCATAAATTAGAGATGGTTTTTCTCTTAAGTGTGGAAACTGGTTCTTGAAACAGCACTGACCAGTTAAATACAACATCATTAAATGATTTCAAATAATTTAATAAAAACTTTAAAGAACAAAAGAATAAACATTACTAATTTTTTTGAATGAGACTAAACAAACAGTTGTCTATTCAGCAATATCAGAGTACTTATGGAGTTCCAGAGATAACTTTCAATAGGTATATCTCAAGACTTGTAGAATAATTGTACTTGAATATCTGAGCTGCTAGAAATCAAAGTCAAGGACAGAGGCAATTTCTTTAATAATCACCATTTAAATGTATGTTAAAACCCACAGATATGATAAAAACATAATGTGTTTGGTCACATGTATCAGGACTATGCCAGCTATGACATGTGATGCAGAGTGCACTCTGCATCATGTGTGTGTCCTTCAAATTTTTATAAGCAGGGAATTAATGAACACAAGGTTAACGATGTGATGTTAAATTAGAGGACAGTCTTTTGTGTAGTATATTTTAATATAAAGTTCAGCTCTGCCTGATGTGGCTCAGTGGATTGAGGGCCTGCCTGCAAACCAAAGGGCTGCCGATTCAATTCCTAGTCAGGGCACATGCTTGGGTTGTGGGCCAGGTCACCAGCAGGGGACATGTGAGAAGCGACCACACATTAATGTCAAAGACAGGATAATGTGTAAAAATAATATATACTCAGGAGATGTTTTATCCAAATTAGATTTACTCCCCAATTTTTTTTGTTCTAAATGTAAACAATAAGCAATGGCACAGAAAAGTATTTATATACAAAGATTTCATAAATAGAAGCACATGTGAGTTAACCAAACACTGTGATTATGTTCCTATGTATGACTCAGCCTCAAACAGATGATTACAGTGGTTCTTTTATATGAAAAAATGATTAATTCTAATGTTTCTGGTAATGTAATAGGAATTTTTTATGGCCAAAAATTCTTAGCCCTCAAGAAAAAAACTTTTGACTCTAACAACCATAAAAGTATTTCATATTCCATACACTCACTATGATCCACACAGTCAATAAATAAAATGTTCTTTATAATGGCTAAGATGATATAAATATGCATCATTCATTCACATAATTGCTGAGAATCTATTAACAAAGTAGTATGGATTTAATACTTGTCTTTAATAAAACTACACAGAGTCACTTAAAATTACTAATACACAACTATACTGCACAGAATAAAAGAATGGAAAAAGAATCACTGCACTGTGGGACTCATCTCTTCAATGTTCACATTCTCAGAAATAAAATTAAGACAATTTGATATATTTGACAACTGTCCAAATTTGAATACTGCACACATATCATACATTATTTATCTATAGTATCATACCTACTATAGAAAGATATTCTTGATTCTTAATTATTTTGTTCATCAGAAGCTAAATGGTTTCTAAAAGTGAAGTAGAAGGTAACTTCTGAACAAAAATGTCAACTTATTAAAAATTTTTTTTGAACGTTATTTTAGTTTAAAAACTTTTCTTGTAATTACCAAACTATAAATATTAAAACTATATAAAATCAAAATAAAACATAGCAAAAGACACTTTATGCTCTTTCTTTTAAGAAATGAGTAATGCAGAAAATCAGGGTAACCAAAATTATAAGTTAACCAAGATTTTAAAAAAATTGAAATACCTAGAACATCATTTAAATGCAAAGTTATATCACAACAGGTATATAATTTCTGATTTCGAGATGGCACAGTGAGATAGTAACGTAAGAATTTACATTCTGGGCAATTTACTTCCAGTCAGGATGGTGGCACAGGTAAACAAGGTTCACTTCCTTGCACAACCACATCAAAATAACAACTGAACTATAGAACCACCACCATGGAGAACCAATAGAAATCAAGTTGAGTGGAATCTGATAACTACAGAATTAAAGAGGCCACATCCATCCAGACTGGTAGACATAGAAGCAGGATGGGCTGGTCCCACATTCGTGTGTGGTGGATAAACCTTGCATAAGAGATAAGCAAATGGCCCAGGGTTCCACTGCCAGGAAGATAAATTCCCATAACGTCTGGCTGCAAAACCCTGCAGGGATTAAATTGGGGAAAGAAACTTCTGAAGTCCCGAGTAGTTCCTATTAAAGAACCCACACATGGACTTACTCAGATTCACTCTCTCTAAGCTGCAGCACCAGGATAGCAGCTTGAAAGGCATCCACAGAGTGCCTTTCAAGCTGCTACACAGTGAGGAACTGAAGTATGGCTTCAAGGCAAGAGCTGGGGGACAGCTTTCTCCCAGACAGAAAGATGGGCAGAGGCTATTGTCCTTTTTTTGAGTCCTCCCCATACAAAGCCACAGAGCTGGCAGGCAGGTGCCATATCTGAGACTCCAACAACCTGGCTAACAATGTTTGCCCCACCCTGGAGGTCTGTGAGACTCCATCCCATCCAACTTGTGGGCCCACCCAACCTGTATATACAGTGACTTTTCCATATGAATGTCTGGTCTTGACTCATGCTTCACAACTTCTTAAATCCTCTCAAACAAGTAATAGCAGGCCTCTGTGAGCCCTCAGCTTCCATACCTCTTGCTAAATGGCCCCAAGCCTGGCACTAGCAGCAGCCAGCCTAGGTTCATAGTTTGGCTTTGCCTAAGAATCCCCAAGCCCAGCACAAGTAGCAATCATCTGTACATTGCTTTATAGCTCACGCACAGTGGCCCCAGAAAGAACACAGATTGGGGCTGACCTTGGCCTGAACAACCCAGGGAAACCACAGAGCCTGAGCAACCAGCAGAGAGCAACAGACCACGTTGGAGAACCACCACCCTGTCTCTGCACAGCTGATCCTCCAGAGAAGGCAGAGGTAGGTGATCAGTGGTCACAGTCAGTCCTTGCAGCTGACCGGCCTGGGTAAATCCCTCCCATTGACCTGCCAACAGCAACCAAGGCTCCAATATAAGAGGAAGGTGTATTCCACCCACACGAATGGTGCACCTTGAGTACCCAGCTTGGGTGATAAGGAAGGCTGTGCCGCTGAATCCTACAGGATACCTACTATATTAGGCCATGCTACCAAGATATGGAGTCATAGCAGCTCTATCTAATACATAGAAACAAACACAGGGACGCTGCAAAAATGAGACAAACAAATATGGCACAAATGAAAGAACAGATCAAAACTCCAGAAAAAGAACTGTAAAAATGGAGATAAGCAATCTATCGTATACAAAGTTTATCTATCAGATACTTGGATCTCTGGTTAGAGATCCAAGATGGCAGAGGAGTAAGTAGAAGCTACACTAACCTACTCCCAGAATCAATTTGGAATTACAACTAAACTGTAGAGAAAGCATCCTGAATAACCAACTACACAGTAGCTGGAAAGGAGCCTTACAACTTAAAACAGACACAAGAAACTACTTCACCACAAAATTGGTAGGGAGCATGGAGAGGTACAAGAGGGTTCACTGGGCTCCTGCGGGTAGTGGATGAAGTTGCCAAGGGCTATTTCAGTTGATGAGATGGGGGTCCCCCATAGGAATTGCGGGCTGTAAACCCCAAGCTGGGCTCCCTAGCTTATAGCATCAGAACCAGAAAGGAAGCCTGGTATCAACCAAATGTCAAAAGCAGCAGGGTTTCTATCTGCCAGGGACAGCTGAAGATGCAGACAGCCTCTTAAAGGGCCTACGTACAAAATTTCATTGTTTAAGTCTGTGACCTACTGACTTTTAAAAAACACCAATATTTCTTCTGCTAGTTACTGTAACAAAATTAGATGGTATTCTGTTCATCTCATTCTATACATAATATTTATGTATATAAATTTTAAATTCTTCATTTTCTCCTCACAAGAAGGTCCCATCTCTTCTCAGTTTTCAGCCAGCTAACTTACAGATTCACAGCTCTTTATTTAAAGTGAAACACAGGATGACGTTTTGCTTATTTATCTTATCTTATAAAGGGTTTTCTTTTTACTTTTCAGTAAGATTTAATTACTGCTTTAGTATGGCTGGTTAATAGAGATTAATTCCAAGAGATTAATTATCAAAACAAACTATCACCTAATGGTTTATCCTGATGACTTCTAATTCACAAATACATTTTTTAATACTAAGGAGTTTTTATGCATGCTTAAAAACAGAACGAGTTATATTTGATAGCTTATTACCTGTATGCAAGATCTATAGAAAGAAAGAAAAAAATATAAAGTGGTCTCATAAGAGGAACAATTTCATAAGTATCCTGGGTTTGGAAAGTCGCAGTCTCTATAGCTGTGTTTACAATTAATGAATATTCTCCTGTACATAAGGTCATCCACCCAAAGAAAAACAGTAGCATAGCACCTCCTGTGCTGCCATACAGCAAGGTCATTCTATTCGGGAGCAGATACCACGTTCCAAGACCACACATCAACCCAGCAAGAACAGAATGAAGAACCATGTTGGCTATATATTTCTTGCCAGGAATTAGAAATTTGATAGTCTCAGCACCAGCACAACTTGTAAATTCATGTTCATCCTCCTCAGCTAAGATATCTGTGCTTAGCATCCTTTTTACTGTCGCCGACTTGTTTCTGGCATATAAACTTGTCAGCTGGATGACAAACGCAGTGAAAATCATTAGTCCACCTGAGAGTGCCGCTGTGTAATAGTCTTCTAGGATGTCTAACTGGTACAAAAATGTTCCTATCCCACCCAAAACCCATGGCATCAGAAAAAGGAGAATCTGATTGATATATACATAAGGAGGGGCACGATAGCCTAATCTGAGTCGAGGGCCTCCAAGAACAGTCTGTGGAAAGCGCTTCAGAAAGAAGTCCTTTTTGTAATCATTCAGTAGAGGCACATCAGGACTCATCCTTCTTGCTCAGTAGTATCCTGGAGATCACATCCTTTTCTGTAACAGTAGTCTCTAAAAAAAAAAAAAGGAAGGAAGGGATTAAAAGTTCACAATTTGAAAATGTCATACTTACAACATGTAGGAGAAACCCCACATTTCTATTTTATCTCAATTCCTTCAAGGGCAGGATTTACAACTTCATTTCTCTGCCTCCTCCCCATTGCTTGACACAGACTTGACAGTCACATTACAGACACTGTACGATTTACTGACATGAGGTACTTAAAATAATCAAAATCATAGATGGAAAGTAGAATGATGGTGTGATGGGTTGGAGGGACAGGAGAATGGGGAGTTATGGTTTAATGGGTACAGAGTTTTACAAGATCTAAAGATTCATGGGGAATGCTGGCAGCGACAGCCTACGTAACAACGTGATAATGTACTTAATGTCACTGAACTGTACACTGAAAAATGGTTAAGATGATAAAATTCGTTATATGTATTTTACAACGCATAAAGAAATTTAAAGGCATCTTAAAATAGCCTATCTTCCCATCAGTTCAAAATAGTTTTTCCAAAAGTCAGTAGTCTACCCAACCATAATCAGCCCTGGAGAGAGATCTGGGGCATACCAGAAGGCTTTTGGGTCACCATTAAAAATGACTGCCTTACAGCCCCTCTTGTTACCCTGCTAGGAAGTTCTTTAAACTATAAACACTTACTGTCTTATGTCTTCAAGCCGAAAGTCATAGCTGTTTCTCACCTGACAGCCCTGCAAGTACTCAAAAAACAGCAGAGCCACAGGGAACTTACGTGGTTGATGGTTCAATTCCCGGTAATGAAAAGGTAGCCTCCCTGCCCTCTGAGTGAGCTTATCTCCTACTCTGATGTCAGGCTCAGTGTACAGTATTCTGACGTGATAGTTCTGTAGAAGCCCTAGGATGAATAAAGGCACACTCTTGTGAGGAGGGGTAAGCATTCTGATTTTAGTTATCTATGAAAGATGTTATCAGATAGGAAAATAAACTTGGATGGCTGGCCTGGGGTTTCTGAAGAGTCTGGATGTGCCTGAAATTCCCCCAGGGAGTTAGGAAAAGCTGGCCTCTCCTGCGGCACTGGGGCCAGTCGGAACAAAGTGAAACGGCTTGCTGGGAAAGGAAGCCAAAAACTGAAGGTGCTTATAAACCAGATTATCTAGCTGCATGTTCCTTTAACTGTTAGTACTCAAGTCTTTTGTGAAGTTTAATTTAAATGTTCTTACCCATTTGATGGAGTACTCTGTGGCTATATTCCAAAGAGTAAAAAAATACCCTGAAGATCTCTGTTGATATGGAAACACGGAAAGTTGCCCACGACATTTTGAAAAGTAAAATGAACACGCAAAGACCTATTTGTATTTTAAAAACAAGAGTACACACACTTAATATGTATACATGGTTGTGTAATTTGTATAGGAGTAAAAAGTTTCAGAAAGCATACACACTATATACTGTGTTTATGTGTGTATTTTACATACAACATTTTTATACCTCTTCATCACATTACCAAATATTCTCTGGAACTCTCAAACCCCATGCCCCGCAAACACATTCTGCGCTTTTCATTATGGGTGCCTCTACTTAAACCCCTTCCTTGGCCTAGGGTGCCCTCGACTCCCCTTAGTCAACTTTTCAAGATTTAGTCTACTCCTTTCTGAAAATTTTGCAGATTTGGGCCAAACTGTGCCTCTCTTCTCTCTGTGTATCAAAATCATTGCTAGTTTCTACTACTCATCTCATGACATATATCAACATAAGGCATTTCTTCTATTATTCACTTTTTCACATGTTATTTTTTCATGTCCTTTTTTTTTTTAACTAGTAAGTTATTTGTGGGTAGGGGCCAAATCTTGAGATACTTCTGATTCCCCATAATATTTAGTAAAATACCATGCCATGGAAAGGCATGCAATACATTAATGTCGTAGCTTAAGTAAGATGATTAAAATGGGAAAACATTAAATATTGTTGTTTAAAAGGGATGTTGGAAGTGTTTAGTGTTTAAAAACTTCTTCCAGCATACCCTGCTCCACTCAAAACAGTAAACCTATAAATAAACTCTTTATTCTCAGTTTTTAATTGTTTAGAAGGTATCTTCATTTATTTTTATTATGGAATAAATAATGCTATCTATTGACAATATTATTGGGTTAGAGGAGATTTTGCCTAGAGCAGCGATTTTCAACCAGCGTGCCACAGAACAGTGACACAAGAGTGTTCAAGACATGCAATAAGTGACTAGTTAGGGGCACTGACCTGTTTTCCCTTAGAATATGAAATTTAAAAAATCAGAAGAGCCAACACAAGAGTTGTCACATGTGAATCAAAATTACACCTATTTTTTGTCAGATCAGCAAAAAATATTTTTTTGGTGTGTAGCAGAATTTTAGTAATTAATTTATGTGCATCAAGAGATGAAAAAGGTTGAAAATTACTGGCCAGGAGCAGCACGGGCCTGAGGGAGAAACACGGCTGGGTGTCTCCACTGGAGAAGGAAATGGCTGGGCAATTTAAACATGTCAAAAGTCCAATTTTAATTTGTTCCCTGTCCTATGCTATGCTTTAACTTCCTTCACAATAAGGATGGAGGAGCTAGTTCATACCAGGAGAGAAAAGCAGAGGTAGGAACAGCAGGCACAAGAGGCAAAATAAGGCAGGAGCAATCTTTAATGAAGTGAGAGCAGACAAAGAAGTATGAAGAAAACATAAGCTCCCTCAAGAAGCCTTAAAAGCATGGGGGAAGACATTGGGATGGTGATTTGTTATTTTAATGGATTACTGAAGAAAGGTTTAAGGATACAAGATCATTAGCCCTATAGAATATTTCTTGATTAGAGGGTCTATGGTCAAAGAAGTTTGAAAAATTATACACTAGACTGTTAGCTTGAAGAGTCATAAAGAATATCAGCAAGCTAAAGATTTTGAAATATCTTTGAAGTTAAAAACAAAAACACCACAGCAAACCTGCTTAAAATGTATCATGTGAGTTTTCTAAACTTATCTGAACATGGAACCCATTTTCCCTATGATATCTAACAAAAGATTACATGTACAGTGTTCTGTGAAAACTACTTTGAGAAATATAGATTGAGGCTCCAACAACCTTAAAGGTTTTGCTAAGCCAAGGAGAATTTAAAAGATATAGTAATCAAGAAGGAATGTCATGAACGAAGGTATGCACAAAAAAAATTATAAGGGAAATTTGACAGGTAGCAAGTATATCAGGTTGCTGAAAGACTAATTAAAATATGGGTATTTTCCCCCCCTAATTTCTTAAGGATAAAAGATGGTTACATGACAGATACTGGAAATCCATTAAGGTAAAAACTATGATAAACTGGTATAGCTTGATTTTTAATTTACATACCTTACAATATTTTAAAAATATTTTCTTTGTAGAAAGCAATAGTTACATTTATATAAAGAAATATAGATCCTAATCTGGATTACTATTATAGAAAATAAAATCAGAACAATTAAACTTAATCCCTGAATGAGAATTTGGCACATGCTTTCAAATACTGTTAATTTCCTGATAGACTGATGCATTTACACAGCTGCTACCACCAACTTGTTAAAATGATAAAATGACTGAAGGCTTGGGGAAGGGGGGAAAGACGTGAAGAGAAGTGAAAGGATAAAGGTGGCATCATAACACTGATTTGGGCCATATGCTTTCGTTGTAAACTTCTCTGAAAGTGGAAAAACAAAACAGCCAAAAAATGTTGCTTTATTTGGAAATTGTGCCATGTTTCTTGTGCATTATCCAGAAGGGTAGGAAACAGATCAATATGGCAGTGTACTAGGACGGAATTCTTAGTTACCAAAAGTTTAAGTCCATAATCATGTAAGACACCAACCTGAAAATCCCTTAAACAGAAATTAAAAAAGTGGTAATTTTGTGGGATTATACTAAATGTACAGTTTTCTAAGTTTGGCAAATGGAATTCCTACAAATACAAGTTTTAGCAATTGTCTGATTTTTCTTCAGCAAAGGTTACTTTTCAGAAATCTAGCATTTATTTATTTTTATTGATTTATTTTGTTTACTGAATCCACACCTTTCTTTTTCTGTTCTATTAGATTTGGATCTATTTATTTATTTATTTGTTTATTTATTTTTATTGATTATGCCATTACAGTTGTTCTATTCCACCCCTTCATTCCCCTCTAGATTTGGATTTTTTAAATGGTAAGAATACTTAACATGAGCGTATCTATCCTTTTAATAAACTTCTAAGTGTTCATTAGAGTATTGTTAACTACTGACACATGTTGACTTATTAATCTTGTATAACTAAAACTTCATATTCATTAGACAAAGATCTCCATTTTTTCGTCCCCTAAGTCCCTGACAACCCTCATTGTAATCTCTGCTTCTAGGAGTTTGATGATTTTAGATCTCTCATATAATTGGAATCATGTACTATTTGTCCTGCTGTGATTGTCTTATTTCACTTACCATAATGTCTTCAAGGCTCATCCACACTGTCACATATGGCAGGGTTTTCTTCTTTTTTAGGCCTGTATAACAATCCATTGTACATATATACCACATTTTCTTTATACACTTATCTGTTGATGCATACTTGGTTCACTTCCACTTTTTGGCTATTAACAATGTTGTAATTAACATGGCATTCAAATATCTCTTCAAGATCCTGGGTATTTGCCCCAAGAATCCTAAAACAACAATTTCAAAGAACCTATGCACCACAATGTTCATAGCAGCACAATTTACAATAGCCAAGAGTTGGAAGCAACCTAGGTGCCCATCAGTAAATGAATGGATCAAAAAATTGTGGTACATAAACACAATGGAATTCTATGAAGCAGAGAGAAAGAAGGAGCTACTACCTTTTGCAACAACATGGATGGAACTGGAAAGCATTATGCTGAGTGAAATAGGCCAGGCATTGAAGGACAAATACCATATGATCTCATCTTTGACAGGAAGCTAAAGAATAAAACAAACAAGCAAACAGAATAAAAACAAAGACACTGAAATAGAGAACAAGTGGGCAGCGACCAGAGGGGAGAGGGAAGGGAACTTAAGGGGAAAAAGGGGGAGGGATTTTGAGGAACAAGTATGAAAGACACAGAGATGAGGACTGGCTGGGGGGGAATGGGAGAGAGGGGGGAGACCGGGCGGGGGGCGGGTGGGATGGGAGAAATAGATTAAAAAAAAAAATGTACTTGAAAAGTAACTAAATAAAATTTAATAAAAAAAAAAAGATCCTGGGTATTTGGATAAATACCCAAAAGTAGAATTGCTGGATCATATGGGAGCTCTATTTTTTTTTTTTTTGAGGACTGACCATACTGTGTTTCTGTAGCAGATGCACTATTTTGCATTCCCAGTGTACAAGGGCTCTAATTTATCCACATCCTTGCTAACACATGCAAACACACACACATGTGAGAGAGATATATATAAGCCATCCTAACAGGTATGAGGTTATACTGAATCCACACTTACTGAGTACTTCTGCATTGCACCTCATCTGTATTTTTGCTATACTTTCAGGAAACTTACTATCTTCTAATATATTTGTCAAATTTTATTAAATCTTTGCTTTCATATTTTTAATTTCTAAGAGCATTTCTTCGGTCTCTGGATATTCCTTTTCATAGAATCCTATTAGTATTTCACGAATACGATCTATCTCTGAGAAAATTCATTACATGTATGTGCATATCTGCATGTATAGATATATGCCATTTATTTTATGTAAATTGCTTCTTCATGTCCTTTGCCTTTTTTCTATTGAACTGTTTGTTCACTTATTAATTTAAAATAACTTTTTATATATATGAAGGATATAACTCTGACATGTTGGAATCATTTTTCCTCCTATGTTAACTTGCTGTTCAAGTAGTTAGAAGATGGTGGTGAGGATTAAAGATTATATTTTGATTGTTGTTAGTACAGACTAAATATGTTATTTTTCCTTTCATAAAGAAATAATTAAATGATAAATTAGTATTTTCCATAAATTTAAACTTTTGAATAGCTTTTGAGTACCTACAGTGTGATAGGGATGCTCTTTCACTGAAGTTTACAAATGAGTAGAGAACATTTTCCTCCCAAGTAACTGTTACAAATAAAAAAAACCCTGAAATTATTTTGATTTTCAATACCAAGAGGATAAGCAAGAAACAGAAAGTTAGTTTATAAATAACCTAAAGTTATTAAACAAAATTAAACTTGTCAAGAAAAAGTAACTCCTACTTATGTTTCAAAATTCCTGCACAAATTGTCAGTAGGGTAGTAAATAAGTGTTCCTAAAAAGTATGTTTAAAAATTTGAAAGGAAAAAGTATGTTTAAAAATTTGAAAGGAAAAAGTATGTTTAAAAATTTGAAAGGAAACATACTTTTCTAAGCACCACCACCTTTACTAATTTGGAAAATGGCCAATAAGCACATGAGATGATCCTCAGCATCATTACGCTTTAGGAAGTGCAAACCAAAACCACAAGGAGATACCACTTCAATCCACAGGTCTAACAAGTATTGGTGAGGCTGTGGAGAAATCAGAACCCTCGAGTAGTAATGTAAAATGGTGTAGGCGCTTTGGAAAGCAGTCTGGCAGTTCCTCAAAAGGCTATACATAGAGTGACCACATGACCTAAAACTTTCATTTCTAGGTATTTACCCAGGAGAAATGAAAACAAGTCTACACAAAACTTTGTACATGAACCTTCACAGCAGAAATATTAACAGCCCCCAAATGGAAACAACTCAAATGTCCACCAATGGATGAAATACAAAGTGGTATATATCTACAGTAGAAGATCATTAGGCTACAAACAAGGATGAATTACTGATACATGCACCTTGAAAACAGAATGCTAAGTAGAAAAAACTAATCACAAAAGGCCACATACTGTATGATCTCCTTTATATAAAATATCCAGAATAAATGAATCTATAAAGGCATAAAATAGACTAGTGTTTGCGCACGGTGGTGAGGATAGTGAGAGTGGGGGAGCATTGAGGAGTGATAGCTAAAAGGTGCAGGGCTTATTTTTGGGTGATGAAGATCTTCTAAAATTGACTGTACAGTAGTAAAGGTTGCATAATTCTGTGACTGTAGTAAAAAAAACACTGAATTGTAGTTTTAATGCGTGAATTATATCTCACTAATGTTCTTACAAGAAGAAGTCCCAACTTGGTATTTTCAGTGGTTGTTATCAACGAGTAGGCAGCTCTTTAAGTAGGAAATTTAAAAGTAATGTACATGACCCAAATATGTAAATTACTGAAATGGCAATATCTGAACCTGGAATGATAAAGGTTTGGGAATTTATCAGGGGTGACAGAGGATACCCAATGATATAAAGGATGGTTTTTGCCCTAATTGCAAGAATGAGTTAACTTAAAGCAAACAAAAACACCTAATATTATACAGCTGAGTAAGAAAGAAATAATAGAGCAGATAATTAATTCAGAGGTCTGATAAATAACTTCTGATGGAGTCAACTTTATAAAAGTATACTCTGGTCCTTACAGAATTGTGGAGAGAGGGAGCAGATCAGTGGCCAAAGAGTTATTCATTGTCAGGGGGCTATTTGACCAATTTGGGGCAAAGGTGGTTTATTTGGAGATAAGGAGAGAAAAACTATAGTATCATCTAAGGAACATAATTTGTGAACTTAAAATAAACAGCCATTTTCCATTTCACAAGTGTCTCTTAGAGACAAATGCTATAAGTCAACAGGCCAATAATAGTCTTTGGCAAGAAAGTTAAAATCACATCAGATCGACACCTCTAGCGACTGAGTTTCATCTTACGTCTCAGAAAGTGCAATAATCGCAGTTGAAGGTTTTATAAGAACGAGAAATGTGTTACAATTAAAACTGCCAGTACAACGTGGCTCTGCACTGGCTTGGAAATTAAGGCAACAAAGAAACCCCCAGGTGGGTGCTGGGGACAGAACGTACCTCGTGTCACCCGAGAGAAGACGCGACACAAAGGCATCCCGGGGGCTTCAATTTTGCTGGTGAACAGGAAGGGCGAGCCCGTCGGGAGACTGCCTGTGGGCGAGACAATCTGTAGCAGCAGACAACCAGTTCACCTCCATCGCGCCTTGGCCCGCTCCTCGTTTCCATGGTTAACGTCAACTCTCGCCGGCGCCACCCAGCGCGGAACAGAGCGAGCGCTGCGGGACCAGCGGGCCTCAGACTCGCCACGCCCCCAGCCCCGGGCTCCCGGGAGCGGCCCCTTCTGGCCGGCCGGCGTTGCAGGGCGGAGGAGGGACCGTGCTTCGTCGTCCACTGCAATTTTGGACCGCAGCGCGCTGGGCTGGGGCTCGGGGTTGTCACTCCTTTCCTTGGGGCTAAAAACTGCAGCGGAGAAGAGGGTCGGAGAACCAGCACTAAACTTTCACACGGACCGCACCCTACGCCCTGGTGACGTGACGTTTTTTCGCATTTTCGCGGGGTAGTGTTCTCGCGCGGATAGAGGCGCGGCAGCCATTTTGTTAGCGACCAGTCACCCGTGGTCTGACCAACGACAGGAGTGCAGTGCAACTCCTACCGCTTAGGGTCGGTCTTGCGACCTCCTTTACCTGCACCCGCATTTTGGCCGTCAACACCCAACGTACCGACGGTAATAAACGCTTTTGAATGATACTCCATGCGTCGTATTCGGCTGGGAAGATTTGGAACTGCACATACGTGCTCGCTATGGCCCCTTTATTGCATTTTCTCCTCCTGAGTGGATTTGACTGCATATTTAAATACAAGGAACCAGAATGCCCATCGTTGAAACGTGTTACTAAGGGATCTGTTTATTAGTAAATTAAGGTAAAGTCCCCGTATTCCACTGGGGAAAGAAAGTTGTGGACGGTTATTATTTAGCATTAATTTCAGGTCCGAGGATCATCATAAGGTGGCCCCCAAATCCCTAGTTTTGCTGGTTTAGAAGTTACCTTTATGCTTCAGCCCACTGCTTCCCTTTCCCATGGTTTCATTTCATCCCCATGTTTTGGACCTTGAAAATTCTTCAAGGGAGCCCGTGAAAGCTTAAAATTCTTTTCAAATGATTTAGACGCTCCTATAAGAGAACTTTGAAGCCGATTTGTCGGTATCAGTGTACTCGCGGTTCCCCTTGTAATGGGATACGGGAACCGAAGCAGTTTTGCATAATTGGTATTTCTGAGTGTCTCCTTTGGATCTTCTAATCTCCAAATTATACATGCAGCTTTTTGGATGTTTCTTTTCTGGCTGTACTGCAAATGACGGCTTAGTTAATAAGCATTTAGGTTTTTAGGCTATAACGTGAAAAACTTTTTTTGTGTTAATATCAAAAGAAATCCAAGGCTTATAAAAAAAAAAACAAACACTATCCAGCGGGAAAGTGTAGTTTGGAAACACGTGGAATAAAAACCCTGCATAGCATAGTTATTCGAGGACAGAGTTTATAGATAGAACCTTTCGTATAGTTCAAAGAGGAAATGTGCCCATGGTTCATTCGTAATGTTTTCCGTTCTTTTGGAGAAATAATCCTAGGTATCCTGGGTCAGAGTAGGAGAGTAAGCATCTTTGAAAAATAAGCTAGTTGTAGGAAGTCTGTAGTATAGTTAAGACTAGAGGCTCGAGTCAGGAAACCGGAGTTGTAACCCTGATAGCACCATTCACTGCTCTAGTGTTGCGATTCTAGTTGTGTGATCTTTCAGTTATTAAAAAAAAAAATCTGTGGCACTCAGTTTCCATATCTTGTAAAATTGGGCTAATCATAGAGACACAATAGAGGGAGTTGTGTAGATTGGATTAGATCAAATAACTAAAATGCTTAGAGGAAACTGGCCTTGCTTAAGTGCTTAGCTATTTATGTAGAGAGGCTGTATTTATAATGCCCATTTTCATCACCCAGAATTACACACGACCCAACCAGAATGAAGATTTTTGTCGTTAAAATATATACAGTAGATGTTTGTTTTTTTCCTTTTGTCAATATTTGTACTTTGCTTTCTCTTAGAATAAAATTAGTAAAGCTTGTGGTAAAGGCCTTTGGTTAATTGTGTACAAAGTAATCAACATTTACTGAGATAGTGGATGCTATTTTCTAGGAACTAATTGCTGCAGATACAACATCAAATAAAACGGCCCTGTCTTCAAGGAATTTATCAAAATACCATGTGGGAAACTGACAAGGATATTAGTAATTAAATAGGGTGATAAATATGCACTGGAGCTATAGAAACACAGAAATGGGAACACAGAAATAACTTTTGGGAAGTTCAGATGGCTGCAATTGAGATTAAAAAATAAGTAGAAGTTAGCTGGATGAAGATGTGGGAGAAGAGGTGTTCCAGGTAGGGAGGGGTATATTCATTCAACAAGTGTTTAGAGCACATATAGAGTCAGGCACACATATACCTTATTTAGTCTTAACATTAGGTCTAGGGGACCGTTACAGGTGGCACAGGAAATGTAGCCCAGCCCCCACTCAGGCCAGTGGGGAGCGAGGTCCCAAACACAGGACCCACGCCCACAGATAGGTTCTCCCCTGGGGAATCAAGCATGCATTGTACCTAGGCTGCCATGAGACTTGCTTTTGCTAAAATTCCCTCACCCTGGATTGAGGTAGAAAATGTTTACTGATTATCTCTAAAGTAACTTCCTAAAATCTGTGTTAAATCTCCAAGTATGGAGTATAACCAGTTAAACCACCTTTCCCCTTGATCTGTAACATCCTTCTCTTTGAAGTAATTAGCAACATTCTTTCCTTTGTTGTCTGCAAAAGGTAATCACCTACATCAAATCTGTGCATAGTAAATGAGGACCATCCTGGATTTAATGTACCCAGAAAAGCAATAAAAGCCTGTCCAGTCAGGGGTAGGGCCCTCTCTTTCACTCAGAGAGTGGCCACTCCATCTCTTTTCCTCCACAGGACTTCTGTAGTCCATGTGAATTTGTCTTTTGAAGGCACAACACACAGACTTTGAGGGCTAGAGTCCATATCACTTACGAGATAGCTTATTATTCTTATTTCAAATATAAGAAATCTGAGCTTCAAAAAAGTAGAATAAATGATAAGATCAGGAATTGAGCACATTTGTATGTCAATATCCATATTTTTGTTACTCTGCTGATGCACATAAAATGAAACTATCAAAAATCTGGAGCTGCTTTTTCAGCCAGAGAAAAAAATGTTTATACAGGAATTACAATGGCATACATGTTATTGTGTAATGGTAAAGCCCACTTTCAGTTCATACTTATGTTACCCACTGGGCAAAAAATAAAAGATAAAAAAATTAAATCCTTACTCTACCCCATTGCCCATGAAAGTAACCATGTAAAGCTACAGCATGGGGTAGGATGGGTTAAAGAGGAGGTGAAATGGTCTTACGGAATTAGGAAGCTGAACTTACAGGTAAGGCAGCAAAATTGCTGAAATTTGGTAAGAAGATTGGGGTGGGGTGGGAGTGGGATCTGGTGGTATGTAGACCAAAGGAAAAAGATGAGTCAGACCTTCAAGCTGGGTGACTGCAAAGCTCGAGGTACCCTAAAATAAATAAGCACAGGAGGAAGAATAGGTTTGCGAAGAAAGACAATCCACTTTGAGACATGTTTGAGGGGCTTGTGGGAAATGTCCAGTTAGAAATAGATTGGACCTTGGGGGAAAAGTCAAGACAGATTGGGGAGTATTTTACATTTAAAAAAATTGAAATCATGTGATTGGAAGACAGTGTCAAGGTTTGGATATTAGTAGGCATGAAGAAAATGATCAGGAGAGAAAAAGAAAGGGACTCTGAAATAAGATGATCAATTTCTTGCATGGTTTGTTGAAATTCATCTCATTGCTTTATAGGACAGATAATGATATAAATATAAATGCATACAAAGACCACATGAATGGGCACATAGATAGAAATTTTAGTGTGCCCCAGCATGCTCACAGGCATGTGGGTTGGGTGACATTGAGTTATGAGCATATGAAAGACAGAGAATGACCACTTGTTAATTATAAAGTTTCATACCAATATATAAAGTTTTTCTATATTAAACTTCATTTAATATAGAAAAAATTCCATGCCACACATTCAAAAATAGAAACATTAAATGATGTATAATTAGTTTGCCATTAATTGGTTTTAAGCTTTGTTGTGAAATACATTTTTAATTACAATTTTGGAAACATTACAGTAATTGCTGATGAGGAGGATAGGATGAAAAGATGGAGTTTCTCATATTTTGGTTTGATTAAAACTTGAATTTTCTTGTGTAGCTCTTGAATATTTTATTATTTTTCCATGTCAATAACTTCACAGATTAGATTTTTTTAAACTTTAGGAGTGTTTCAATTAATATTATTTTTGAAAATTATCACCACTGGAAAATTTTAATTAAAATTAAAGTATAATTGGCATACACTATTATTATTTTTGGGTGTGTTCATCATAGTTATGGTGTTATTGCCATAAGTCTAGGTACCAGTTGTCACTGATAGAAACTTATTTTAAAGGAACATAGTAGAATTATTGGTAGACTGAAAATGATAAATTGGGATAGTTTAAAAGCTAGAGTTTTAATTAAAATTTGTGTTAAATTTTGTATAAGTTTGTGAACATAACTTCATTGGACGGTCAAGTTTTAAGAATTATGAAACTCTGTAAATATCCACATGAATATTGACAATTTGACTCTTTATCAAAATTAGTTACACATAGATCTGAATTACAATGATTCCCCTTTATTTGAACACATAATTAAGATTTAACTATGCATATTTCATAGTCTTTATCCCCAGTATCCAGTGGAGCATCAGATAACCTCTTCTATTGATAGTGTTATCAAGAATGTGATGTTATTAGTAATATAAGTTTCTAAAGGTACAGGGGAAGTTAGTAACCTAAAATAGGTGTCCTTTTCCTGGCCATTTATCTACTAATTTCTTCGTTTATAAATGTTCTAGTTGTTTAGAATTGTGTGAACATTATCTTCACTTTCTGATAAAATGAATATATAAGGAAATGCAATGAGTTAGTTGATAACATTTCTGTTTGAATTTGTAATTAAAAGGAATGTGGGGGTGGAAGAGGGTTAGGT